GATATACCATCCGTAATTTAGTGTACTTAATCATTAAAGTTTGACATAATTTATGCCACGAATAGCCATAAGAATAAACGGAATAGTTACGAACAGTGGTAGCCAGAGAGAGAGATGTGTGAGAGCTAATGCATCTGGAACCGTGTCTATAAATGTCATTGTAATTTAAGTTAATACTCTCATCAGATGCATGTTCAGTTTTCACATCATTGCTGAGAAATTATGAAGCACCTGTCACACGCTTATAGGGATCTGCGAAACTGAAACGTGACGCCTAGATTCATGCAGGCCACTCTACTTCCCTCGAAACGTTGAATAATATAAGGCAACATCAGCCATAAATAATTCAACTACGCAGGGTGAAGCAGGTCCATGTTTGTACCGTCGCAAGTACGTGAAACCGGAGAGCTTCAAAACATTTAAAAAATACGGAGGGGACCGCCGCGCAAGTATCGCTTACAAACACAAACTTCGACGATCACGCACACTCATCCGCTGGGAGGAAGAAGAGGGTCAAACGTACGCAATGGAGAAATATAAGCCAATTTAACGACTATTCAGGGCAGAGATGTTCTACTGACAGTCAACGAGAATATGCAAGATAATGACATTCATAAATAAGGTTATGGGTGTCGCGAGTTAGTCGAGCGCTGCGGAAGGCTCGAGGAGACAAGCCCCGCCCCTCAGCGGTTGCCGCTGTCTTCCTCTGCCTCACTTCCTGCCGCGCACACCACGCCCTCCGTCACGAGCTCGCTCACACCAAGATCTACTATCAAATTAGTTCCTCTATTCTTTATACAACTTTCCACGCTAAAAATAATGAGTTATCAGTTCACAGAACAACAGAAATAGAATGAACGAGAAGCTAAAAAATGAATTAATAAATGAGCAGTGCCTTTCTCAGATCATTCTGAGAGGCAAAGTCGCATTTTATGCACTCCTTGATTTTACGTACAGAAGAAGATGCGGAATGTGAGCATAATTGTTTTACAGGCATCCTAATCTACCCATTAATGGTAGTAGAGCGACAATCCAGCCTAAGAACGAGTCATCGCCCGTTACAGACGTGGTTCAACGCCTTTATCTTTGGAAATTAGAAAACATTTAGCTCGAAAAAGCTCTCCCCGGAATACACTTGAATATGCATTGTTTAGGTTCGACCGACTACATAACAATAACTGACTTGTGAATTCATCACTATAATTCACTAATCAAGTTAGCGATGTGAGGGGAATGTCTGAACGATCTTGTATCGAAATCAAACATTATGAAACGAGATAGTGTCAACTGTGACATTAGACGAGAAAATATGATTGTATGATTGTCCAACCGATTTCCGAAACCTGTACAGCAATTAATTCTGATCCAACCTTCGCTGAAGAGACAATGAGTGGGCAAAAAATACCAGACGTGGCCACGCATAAAACGTTAAACCCCATTTCAAGAAGGGCTTTTTTGCGACAACATTGTTCGTTTTTAACCCTTAACGAGGGAAAGGGAAAACACCTTATGCAAAAACTACGTTTAAGTCTTGGCATGAGCAGTTCGATATTTTCAAAGATCTTAATTTTTTCCCCTGTGTTTGAGATGAAAGCGGAAAGAACAATAAAAAAATTTTCAACGCATTTAACCATTCGGCCTGGTCAAATAAAGCACATACGACTTAGATTAGATCTTCTCAGAGCTAGTAATAAAACAATGTGATTCAAGCTCTTAAATTAAATAATTGTAATGCTTTATAGAATAATGCACCATCGTGCGGAGCTACAGAACTTTAGTATCGTGCATAATCGTCGTGGTGTTAATTCCGATATCAGCGCTAAGCAATTAGCAAAATAAATGGCATAGGTAACAACTTAAGAATTGTACAAAGTTTTAATAGGAGTCACACTCAAAATAAAATTCAGTCTGACATAGATAACTGATCTAGCTTTTTAGCTCAAGAACCCCCTTCATTTTTAATCTTTGCGCACCCAAAACTAAAAATTCACTTATAATAAAATTTGTTATGGGACTAAAGGAACGGACCCATTTACGCATATAAAAAAAAAATATATATATATATATATATACAACAGCGAAATAGTCATAATTTTGAATGATAGTTGACTGTGCTACATAAAATCTATGCAACTCAACATAATTGCGAACACTTTTTCCTCAACTCAAATAGGAAATTTCATACAAACATTAGACACTCGTGAACTTAAGACTGTCATGGTCATCATTCAGTGAAAAAATGAAATTCACTTTAAAACCGAGTAAAAATACAACTTTTACGCGGTGTATAATTTGTTCTGCACTTATTTTACGGCCAGAATGCAAATCATAGTTCCGTGAAAACTTGTTAACAATTTGTTCAAATATTTCAGCATTGCAAAAATTATAAAGTTTTTTTTTTTTTTTGCTGCACGGTAGAAATCCTGCGCAAGAAAAACGGCAACACCTAAATATTAAAAATAACAGCGCGTCACTTGGTTGCAATATCTGCGTGGTTGTGTCGAGTAAATTCACATCACGACCGTGCGACACTCCCGGAGCGAATACTAACACACGTGCTAACGGGAGCGCTGCTCAAACGCTACTGCCGGCCGGCAGGGGCAGCAGGCGTGACTAGGAGACGAAATTCGGAATGAAGTTGAACACGTGAAACGTCGCGCAACGCTAGCACAGTGCAACGACAAAAACATAAAAAAACAGAGAAGTAAGATAGTGGCAACTAACTACACAGGACTTTAATTTCAGAATTAGACACGCAACAGAGATTGATACCTAAATCCAAAACAACACAACGAAAACTTCAACGGTCAAATGTTCTGTATATTATTTGTGCAAGCTACCGTCACTCCAACACAATTACTGCAGAAAAAAATTAACTTATTTCTGACATATTCAACTTGACCAGCCGTAGCAGTAATGATCATTTACATTCTAGCTCCAAGCGAAATAAAATGGAAAACATGTCAATATCAAGTCAACGAGATTCAATGTCAATACCTGCCAAGGAGATTTTCGTGGATATGCAATTCGTTAAAGACTAAAATGTTTGCAGTAATTTGCTAGAGACTATAAAAGAATACGAGTGAGCGTACTACATATATACAAAAAGCAGTACAAACCACAGCATAAATTCATTATGAACTTTCTTATGTATCTGTGATTACTTGAGGGCTGAGGCTTAGTACTTGCGACAGCTGCCACACCTAGTAGCTGATAAAAGAGCTATTGAGTCACGTTAAAAAAAACTATGATACGCATGACGACATTATGATAATACGACACATTTAGGATTTCATCGTAATGTGCATGGAGGTTGAAGTTCAGATGATAACGCTCACCATAAGTTCTTTAGGTAATGTGCAGCAGCAATACGGCACACAATTGTCAGGCGATGGGGGCGGAGGCTTGCCTAGAATGTGAAACCGGAACCGCAACGAGCTCTTCCGAGCCAGAGGAAGCCTGTCTCCACCTGCCCGGACGTGGCCGGCTGCTGCCAGCAGAAGGGCGTACACAAGACTGCGTTTTGCGACCACGTAATCTTCGAACCAAGCTTAGATATGACCATATTTTAGCTCATTTTTCATACAACGAATGCAAACGAATCTATAATAATTGATAATAAAATAGTATTCATCACAGCATATTCTGTGCGTGATGAAGAGAGATATAAGATCTAGATGGTAGTCGAAAAATTTCTATTTAGTGATATATGGTTTCGATAAATGTCATGTGGGGCTTGTTAAAGGTCACTGTTTTTTTGCACACCTCGGGACACAAAGCTTTGCTCGCCTTTTGATCGTTCAGGGGCGTTTGCGGAAAGAAATGATTAACTAGATCAATCAGTGGAAGACATTTCCAGACCCGCAAATGTTTCAAGGAATAAAACGAGCTTCAAGCAGTTGAGAGCATGCCGGTTATGACAGGGTGAGGAAATGAGTTCTAAAAATAGGAGCTGAGTTCAAAAAAGACATTCGGCAGTATATACAATCACAACTCTCTGGTTTAACGTGCATGACAATCAGATTCAAGTCGAAACTTCACCGTTTAACTCAAGCCGTGAACCTGCGTGTGTACGATCGAGAGCCGACAAGCGATGGCAGGCTCGCTCATGGTTACACTTAATATAGTTCAATTTAATGAGAGTGTGTCAAACCAATCAGTGTAGCAGTGCAACACAACATACAATTAATCTCGTAAATGAATCGTGGAAAATAATTGTTTACTTGCTATGAGTTTTCGTCTCAACTCATGCCTCTCATACCAATGCTGGTATGACAGTTGGACATAAGGCGATGACGAGTAGAGGCGTTTAATTCACAGCAGGGAAACGCTATAAGACGTTTTATTGAGAACAAATTCAACATTATTCGAATATAATGCAGTATATTATTATGACGGGAAATTTTTACGCATTTGAATATCGTTTCGCCGAAATGTTTGGCATCACACAAGATAACATAATACCATATATATCGTCTCCTCTCTGAGAGCCCACAGTTATGGGTTTGAGTGCTGGGCAGACGCAGCGCGCTCGTGCTTGTGATAGCGTTATCAGGAACGTTACTTTGGGAGCTACGCCAGGCCAAGCTCTTACGTACTCCGTGTAGTTACAAGGCAACAAACTGCACAATTACTTTGCTAGTACATGGATGCAGTAGCATTTTGATATAAAGTAAAGTTGAATATTCAATAGATAAGATGCAAGTACAATACGATGCGAGTAGGATTCGACTGTGTCTAGTCTTGTTCATGGAATTAAATGCGGATGATAATTAGGCTTACCCGTGAAAAGAAGTGATTGGAATTATGATGTTTAGAAGTTTGGGCGAGAAGGAGAAGTCAGGTAGGAAACGTCTGTCAGACAGAAATAAATGTCCATTCAATTCTCTCATTAATTAATATGCTACTGAAATAATGTACTTTGCAGAGTAACATATAAAGGAGAGAGGAGATTAACATGACTAATGAGAAAGAGAAATATTTAACAAGTAGGTACTCACCTGTTCATCTAAATCAGACTCCAGAACATATTCTTCTTGGGCTGGAACTTCATTGGGATCGTCATAGAATTCTCTGCTGTTTTCGTCAGAATAATTTGAAGAGTTTGGAATAACTGTGGACATTTCTTGATTGTTCGTGCCGTCACTGAAGCTAGAAGTTACTACAGGAATGGCAGACGCGTGTTGACTTTCGTACGGCACTAAGGCATTAGAAGTTCGCTCATAAGATGATCCATTTGGATCCAGTATACTCTCTGAATACTTGTCGCTTTCTAATCCCATAGCCTTGGCATTGGAACGTTTGAAGCTGTCGGTATTGACGCTTTTAAGAATGGTCGTGGTGAGAGGAGGACCCATGTCACTATCGTGCAGGGCAGGTGAAGCACAGGTTGAAGGAGTATGTGTAGTTTTAACGTCCGTACCACATTGTGGTGCACACAGTGTACTTCTTGCAGCTCCCATTCTTGCAACGCCGTTAATGATCTGATCAATTGACGCAATACCACAAGGGCGAGTGCCGGTGAGACGAGCAACTCCGAAGTCTGATGGAGGACGTGGAGGCGCTCTCGGAGGAACAGCTCGGAACGCCCCTCTAGGTGCATCATGAGAATAATGAGGGGTGTGGTGATGAGAATGGCTACAACTTGACAAGTTTGTCTCTGAGGCATGCAGGTATCTATTGAGGGGAAGTCGTGAAGGCAGAGGACACGGACGTATTTTATCTAGTCCTTGGTCACTCTCTGAGCCATCTCTAAAGCTTCCTCTTTGTGCCCCAACTGAACCGTTGACTCCGTCACTAGCGGAAGAATCTCTTAAATCTTCCAGAGAACGACTGAATGAACGCTCGGATGGAGCATTCGGGCGACTAGACGAAGTTAGACAGGCAACAGGTAAACCATACACTTTAGGAGACAATTTCAATGACAGTTCTAAGTCTAATGAGTTTTGAGTTGCAGCAGAATTGGGAGTTGGCGTCGTTGATTTTTTCTTTACGTTAGCCGGCGAAAATGCCCGAACACTCAAAGGATGAATGCCGTCCGTATCAGACTCGCGCCTATTAATTTTTTGTGATACCTTAACCAAATGCTGTTGTTTATGCTGCAGGTATTTATGCATAGAATGCCGCATTGAATTAATATGAGGATCTGTTTCGCAAACGGGAGCAGCAGCTCTTTCAATGCCGACTGGATCAGGCATGGCTCTAACAGTCAACCTCTCAACATCGGATGGAGAGCTGCCCTCGATCGCAGGTGTCCTACAGCCTCTCATCTTCTCGTCACTGACGCTCGTTCTACCGTCGACGCCCTGAGCAGACCTGTTCTCGGCTCTGGCCATCGCAAGCGCCGACGCATGAAGTTCATCCGTGATACTTGACCGGCCGTCTGTGGTGGGAGCCTCTGAAGTGGAGGCGCAAGCTCTTGGTCTGCTACATTTTCGCCTATAGCTGTCAGTAGCACCGATCTTCATATAATCGCTTAAATTGTTATTGCAGGAATGAGAAGCAGAAATATCAATATCTTTATCATCTCCCATCGCACAATTTCCAGCTATGCTGTCTCGGTCACAAGAATGTTCTGTACCGTTCAGCCTAAAATTGTCACTTGGCACTATTGCAATATCACTATCAAGCGAGGATTTGGCACACTTGGGATCACACATTTGTAATCTATCACGAGCGTTAATGGCACGATAGTTCACTTTATTAGAGCACGACGCGTTTCTTTCCGCGCTATTAGTACGTGGATTCGTATTGCTATTGCCTGTCCGTAGGCCACTGTCACTGGCATCGCCAGCCAGCACATTACTGCCAAGACTTCCGCTCATTACTGGCAAATTATAATTAATGTTACTTCTAAGATTATCTACAGTGGCTTGTAAACTATCTAAATGGTTATTAGGTCTAGAATTTGCATTCGTACTAGCATTATTACTATTGGCACCGCTTGAATTGCTGTTGTTTCGACTATTGTTAACTAAATGGTAGTTTTGTATCCTAAGCCGTTGGTTATCGTCCACTTCGACGACAAAAACCCTGTCCATGTGGCGATAGAGATGGCTGCCTCCTTCGTCTCTGAACCCGATTCCTGAATCTGAATTAGATGAATTTGACGACGTATTGGAATGTTGGGGAGACATTTGAGCGTCATCTGCCATGCCCACGTTGTTTCCACCATTGTCAAAATTAAATCCTGGCTGAGATCTATACAGACTCATAATCGTATGAAGAATAGGGTCAGCTGTGTCGGGAAATTCCTTGCAGTGGGTCACAGGTGCATTATCTTCAGCCGTTGTGCATTCAATTCGGAAAGTTTTGGCTCTACGAGCGTGGTCGTTGTGCTCTACCATGCTGGGATCTACCATGAACACGTGACACGAAGAAGAGACTCCTTGTTCGTTGCGCCCATTTCCTTTCCCGTCATTACTTACATCGCTAAATTCGTCACTAGAGGAACCATGCACAGTTACCAGACCGAAAAATTTCTTGTCATCTGCATACACACCGCAGAAAGTGATTCGCTCGGCTGGGTACTGAGCAAGGGTAATACCATGAGGGTTCGTCAAGACAACCCTTTCATTAAAAACGGACATCAGGACGAGAGTGTGAACTTTCTTTTCGATGCGCAGCCTTCTAATGCAGTTTTTAATGGCAGTCAGTCTGGATCCACCTTGAGAATCTTTGGGTACTTCTATGGTACCTAAGTACCCAACAACTGCTCGGTAGAGGGACTCGCCAAGGTCAGGGGGAGGGCCCTTTAATTGTAGTTCGGCCAGGGTTGGATAAAGAATTTTGTTAATTTCTTGTTCGGTGATGATCCTTACGTCATCTAATGCACTGCTCGTATGACCATGTTGGTTTTGCTGGTGATGACGCAACATGAGTTGGTGGTATTGCTTATCGTATATTTGTTGAGTTTGAGCACCTTGATTAACTTGAATATGAGGCTGCATTTGCTGCACAAGTTGCTGGTTTTTCGTTTGGTGTTGATATTGGTCATTATCGAGTGGGGTAGTGTGGTGTGGATGAGGGGGCGGCATCTGTTGAGATGATTGCAGTTGTCTATGATATCCTTTAGGTGAGAATGGTGCGTGTAAACTCTGATGATGAGGGTGCGGGTGACAAGACTGTTGGTAAAAATGAGAGTGCAGGTTTTGCCGGGGTGGACGATTGTGAGTAGGATGTGGCAAGTGCGGCCTCACATGCTGTTGCATTAGCTGTTGACCGTTGATAAACTGAATTTTGTTTTTAACGATTTTCTCTCCTTTCACAGGAGACTGCCTTGACCTGGCAACTTGATCGATTTGCTGGTCTTCGAAATGACGCGTAGGGGTAATGTTGCTGTTCTGGCGGTTGTCACCGAATGCCAATGGCATAAAGCGTCTTCTTGTAGGTGATGAACATTGCAATGGAGGCTGAAGTAATGAAGATTGCGAATCTGGCAATTGCCCGGCAGCATTGTGAATGGAAGCACTTGGAGGAGGATAAACGTTGGGAAGTTTAGAAGGAAAAGATTCCGGCCAATCTCTGTCGGAAAGCAGGGCTGCTTCTCCGAGCTGAATGGCTGCTCGTTCGCTGAAAATTGCACCACTCTGGAGATCACGCACTACACGCTCAGCTCTCGTTTGCTGTTGTTTGTGCCGCAAACGATTAGGGAACTTTGGCTTCTGTCGATTAACTGCAACGTATTCGTCGTCAGAGCTGTCGGAATAATAATTTTCGGCTATCTGCAGCTTGAGGAGCTTAGACATTCCAATAATCCTAACGACGTCATCATGTGTGGACTTGCTGACATTTTGCCCATTAACAGCAATCAAATAATCACCGAGGCGAAGGCCCGATCTCTCGGCTGATGATCCCGGCACGATGTAGGAGAGCATGCAGGGCGCTTGCCCGCTGATGGTGAAGCCGAAGCCATTCTTGCCCTTCGTGATTTCGACGGTCCTAACACCGTACGTAGGGCGCTTCTTGCGACGCCGGTTGCCTCCTGAAACTCCATTGGGAGTCGCAGATACTCCAACACCTGTTCCTCCTCCACCTCCTGCCTCCCTGAACAACGGGAACAAGCAAATTAAAAGATGCGCAAGCAGATGCAAATAAGCCGATAATTTACTGAACATGAATTAAACACAACTTACAGACTGACTAAACTAAAATCTGCAACAGTAAAAAAATTAAAACTTTTTGATTCTTGGATAAAATAAGCCGAGTCGTAAATCTGTTAACAGCTAAAAGAGCTCAACGTTTCTTACTTGAATGATGATTCACGCGTAGCAATGATAATAGCATAACTATATAGGAGCGACTTTTTATTCAGGTAAAATGTGTGCGTACGTAAATACCATGATGCGCCTGCTTGCTAAATAATTTTTCATGCAATTTCTACTCGAATATGAAACTTTTACGACTTAAGTTTTGTATGGATACTGACAACAGAAAAACGAATAAATTATTTCCGATGTTGGTGCATGTCAATCTTGTACATTAGGATTTACATAGATTTTCCTCAATATTTCACGAACAAAATAATGAAACCAAGTACATTTATACCCAAGTAAATTGAATTACAAATTGGTCTGAGGACCGAAAAAGCATTGGCTCCACTTACCAAAACATGGTCGTATCATTTTTACTTCTCGGTGCTTCCATTTCTTGAGCGGAGCATGAAGTGACTTGTTAGATCGTCACGACCACTGCTGAGCAAGGAAGTAATTTTTTCTGGTCGCTTGTAGATATTAGAGGACGATGCTGTACAACTTGGATCAAAGGGATCATGAGGTAGTACCAGCGGAGTGTTGTTCAATTTCCAGGGGCTCGAAAATCGGGGCATTCTGAACGGCAATCCGTGCTAATATTCGCCCAAACCTGAAAGAGAAAAAATTAATTAATAAATCGTTTAACAGAGCTCTAAATTATAGATGAATAGATAACGAGTTTGAAAAATTGTGATAATAGAGGTAAAGCATACAAGTTGCTGGTAGAGGCGGGACGTTAACAGAGTTGCTGGTAGAGGCGGGACGTTAACAGAGTTGCTGGTAGAGGCGAGACGTAAACAGCTTCCTTGGCGTAACCCCATAAGAATAGTCACATGGGGTGAGATCAGGTGATCTCGGAGGCCAGAATTAAGTGTAGAGCCAGATCTTCATTTCCTATGCGTCCTACTCCACGCTCAGGAAGTGACCGATTGTCACTTCCTGAGGGGACAAGGGGGGCATATAGAACATTCGTAAATAGGTAAAAAAAAAACTCTGAATCTTTCTCTTTCCATTAGGGTACTAATTAGACATTTTGAATTCGTGCCTAAAAAATACGAATTTATTAAATTGGGTCCGTCATGTAGAATAACCCTACATCTTTTTCGAGAACGATTGCTTTTCTGAACTGATTTCCCTAATGAAAATTCATGACCTTCCACCATTGATATTAGTTATCTGCTCGCATTCGAAGTTAATTAAAATCTTGACTGTCACGCAATTTTCAGCCCTGCATACGTACACGTTTCGACCTGTCGCTTCTCTGTACCATCGTTTGTCAGTAAAATTTTTGAGAGCATTTCACGGCAATTTAGAGTCTTTATTTTATTTTTATTCTATTTTATAATAATTGAGAGGCCAGTATGGATGCGAAATTATCACCGTCAGAAAATAAAATTGGATACGACATGTATCCAGTTTTATTTTTATTATTTAATTTTTATTTATTTCAAGACTGAATCACAGTCTTGATTTGAAATTCATTATTTTAATTGAAATTCGGCGAATGTGGAAACACTGTAGCGGCCACGAAATATAAAATGTAATTATACTGAATTCTTTACTTGAAGACAGTGAAGTTGATTCCCAGACAAGCAGCGTGAAACGAGACTAATTATTTGTTAAAAAGAATTTTAAAAATCACTATTTCTTTTTTTTTTTTTAAGAAAGAGTTGGATTGATAATAATGGACATGGCGAATTTCGCCGTGAAGTCATTGGTTAAACTTTTTTACATCGTTATTTTCATTATTTTATTTCCTTAATTAATTGAAGTGGATTTTGATAATGCTCTATTGATCATAAAAAATCATTTTCATGACCACCTTTTCGATTTTCGGTTCATGCAAGCCACCATTCCAAGAAAAAACTATTGATGTTAGTGCTGACGTATCACGAGTTTAATTTCATAGCGGCATAAAAATGGCATGTAAACATAACTCATATTTAGAGTCCCACAAAATAGCGCAAGCTACGAGTCATCTCGTAGATTGGGTATATTGGGTATAACGCGCATTCAACGCATTGAGGGCGAGGAGACACGAAGCAATGCTTGACTTTTGCGTTAGAGGGATAAAGCTTGAACTTTGTAAGAAAATAAACATTTCTGGAATACTTTTAACGACTAGCAAATCGGACGAAAATTATCATTTGTCGTCCAATATTATTACTATTATCACCTGTCGTGAAATAGCGTACAAAATTATCATTTGTCGTAGTCGAAAGCGTACAACTAATTCAATATGCAGGCTCAACGTTCGACGAATATTTGGTATATTTTTCAGCTATAAGCTGATATTTATGTTTTCATTGGCTGACAGACGTCAGGCGAGGCTTGAGTAAGCATCAAGATAAAATTCAATCACGATTGGAAATAAATTCACTCTCCTCTCAACTGAATTTTCATATTATCAGAAGTATGATCAATTTCATATAGTATAAGAGTGGACAAATTTCAAGATGCACAAGGCTTACTAAAACACTTTATCTTACATTATTGAATAACTTAAATATACTGCAAAACATGATCAAACACTATTGTATCTAATCTTTGCTTTACGTTTCCTCTCATCGCTTGAAATATTTAGCAACTCACAATTTTTTCATGAATTATGCATATTTAAATACTTGACATTTACACGTACTGTCGATGCAGTCGAACAGAAGATGTGGAACAGACCCGGAACGTGCCACATCGTTTCTATCATATCTTTCCGTAGGCAAAAACGATTTTAGACCCGTCTGTCCCGTCATAGAACCGTCTGTCCCGTTATAGAACCGTCTGTCCCATTATAGAACCGTCTGTCCCGTTATAGAACCGTCTGTCCCGTTATAGAACCGTCTGTCACCGTCATAGAACCGTCTGTCCCGTCATAGAACCGTCTGCCCATCCCATCATAGAACCGTCTGTACCGTCATAGAACCGTCTGTACCGTCATAGAACCGTCTGTACCGTCATAGAACCGTCTGTCCCGTCATAGAACTGTCTGTGCCGTCATAGAACCGTCTGCCCATCCCATCATAGAACCGTCTGTACCGTCATAGAACCGTCTGCCCATCCCATCATAGAACCGTCTGCCCATCCCATCATAGAACCGTCTGTTCCGTCATAGAACCGTCTGTTCCGTCATAGAACCGTCTGTCCCGTCATAGAACTGTCTGTCCTATCATAGAACCGTCTGTGCCCTCATAGTACCGTCTGCCCTGTCATAGAACCGTCTGTTCCATCATAGAACCGTCTGTCCTATCATAGTGAATTCTGTTCCGTCATAGAACCGTCTGTTCCGTCATAGAACCGTCTATCCCGTCATAGAACCGTCTGTCCCGCCTGAGTACCGTCTGTTCAGTCATACTGTCATAGTACCGTTATTTCCGTCATAGAACGGTCCATTTGTTTTTTATTTCAGTCGAAAAAATGATCGGAACATAGAAATTTAAAAACCAAAAAATCTTGAATATTTTGGATAGATATCAGAATGGAAAGCCTGCAATTTGAGGAATTATTCACTGACGCGGCTCTAGCCTCAACCATGATGTCAGAAACAGTTTAAATTCATCTATTTTGATGAATACCAGTTTTTAGAAGATAAAGTATAACAATACTATTATTTTGATGTCAGTTCAACAAAACGACAGATGCAGAAATTTTTCCTGAAGCAGACGTTCGATCGGTACATAACACAACAGATTTATTAGGTATATTTTGAATTCACCTACTTGAATTAACATTATATAGATTTTAATTTCCCCAACAAGAGCAATGATGAAACTTTTTAGGATTGATGCCAATCCCAAACTGCAAAAGCATACTAGTTACTTTCAATAGCGGGAGATAGTTACGCACATACTGAGATAGCAAAACAGGTTGCTTGCATTCCCTTTGTTGCGAAATTCCTGTTGCACCACAGAATTTCGGTTCCGCATTACGTTCGAGTAATCGATAATCGATCAACTAGCCTAACTTCTATATAATTACTCATAAATTACCGTATATATGTTGCTTCACGAATCAAGTCTATCTCGCAGTTTGCACATAGCGCAAGGCATCAGATGGATCATGGATCACTTTTTAAGATGCGTAGCGATCTCCTCAACTCCAAGATATCTGGGTTGCAATCAGTTTTTGGTTGTTACGCAAGACATACCAGTTAAGCACGTTTCAAAATAGCATATATTCGCATGTTGTAGATAAAAAATTTTTGGGTAGAACTTCAAGGCAAGGCAGAAGTGTTTTACTCGAGCACGGGCAAGAGAGAGAGAAACAGCCCGGAGGCTATTTTTTTCATCTCCTGAGATGGCAATTAGAAGGTGCTTCAAACTTACCCATTTCTTAACTGCGAAGCGCCTAACGGTGTTGCACTACACTTTTGACACTGGGCATTATGTTATTCGAATTTTATTACAACTTTAACACTTATTAACTATTACGGGTAAGTTAAAAGGGTAAATGCACCATGAGCGGAGAAGAACCTGCACCCACACAACGACATTGTTCAGTCACCACTAGCGCCACCTGTGAGTAGTCGGAGAAACTACTCACAAAAGTCTTCACCACCATTGCGTTAAAAACTATTTGCATTAAAAATTACATTACGTAATACTCGATAGAAGCAATAAGTTCATCATTGACTTGCAAAATTGTGTATCCTTAATTAAAAGGGGATAAAATCTAAAATTTAATCGGTGATGAGAGGTGCCGCGACCCTGTATCGGATATTTCATTCTTCCGATAATTTTTTTTAAGAAAAGCTCTGACCATTTAACTACGTAGAGGAAAATTATTTATTGTATTATTGTGTAACTAACGTTTATATCTAAGTTATTATTTAAGGTGTCTCAAATCTTTCCATATAATACATTTATGTTGTAACAAATTATCATGTCAAATCAATTAAATTCTACATACCATATATCGACAGGCCTTTCAACCGGTGCAAAACAATAATGAATCTATTAAACTGAAAAAGAGCATGAATGCTTGCTTTTAAATTTAGAGCGCGAGGCGGCTTGTCCTATCAAGGTGCTATTTAAACCACGTTGAAAACGTTCACGGGTCAAACTCATTCGACAAAAGCTGTTGAATTAAAATAAGGGAGGGTGGTGACCTTAGGTAAGACCTTTGAATCAGCCCAAGCGGCTCAGAGGCATGCGTAAAAATTCGAAAAGAAAATGACAATTTTTATAACGAAAAATTCATAACCCGAAGCTTCTAGGGGACTAAAATATAAGCATTTAAAAATGTTTTGTAAAATATCCAACGAAATGAACATTCTAAACATCCAAAGTGACTAAAATATATTCAGAGTAATAATTCACACGCATGCTAAAGAAGCATCAAGAGCATAATTATTTAGTATGGTTGGTATTCATTCAATTTTATTTTATTCCATTAAATTTATGTAATTCTTTCCATCCTCTTCTGTTCTGTCTCCTTTCACACGCTCTGTAGATATCTCATCGCATTTTCCTTCCTAGTCATTGTGTTGTCACAGTCAAACGCACAAGTTCTCCAATCTACTCACATGTTTTCTCATGCCTTTACGCCCGTACTCACACTCATCCGTTCCAGTATCAGCTGCCCATGCTACCATTACATTCCTTATATTTCTTAAATACTTCTTTCCTCATATATTCCTAAAGCTAAAAATCATTAAACATATTCATACATTTTCATGTTCCCATTATAGGTTGTAGCTTCTTTAAAATAAACATATTAAGCTAGCCGTTTTTTTCCTGTTAATTAATGGTTCTTCTAAAAATTACAAACTCCTTTTTTTATTCCAGAAGAAGTTTTTTTTTTCATTTTTCTCCAGAAGTTCCAGTGTTTAACGTTATCAGTACTGCGATGCTGTTCTCCGATTTCCTATCGCCGATTTCCTATCGCCGATCTAAAAACAGGTCCTTCGACCACAGCTTTTCCAATAGTTATTTCAAACGATTGTTTGAAATAGCTACTATACTTCCACCGGGTTCGATATTGTGCTATGCATTTCAAGTCTGAACATATGTTTCGTATCATTATACGCATACACATCTAATCCATACCTAATACCAAGTACTGCCACATTTGTGTATTGATCCTCAGGAATCATGCGCATGCGTAATAGTGCGTAAAAAAACTAAAATGAAATGCCAAAAATTACTTTCAATTTAAAAAATCCAGGCACAAGGCTGCTGCTCGCGCTGCTTAAATAAACAACTTAACACTTGTGCTTTGATTAAAAGTATGGTGAACATCTCCAGTGCATGCCGAATTGCCGATGTAGAAACTTAATGAGTACGGTTAAAGGATTTTAATGTGCGGTTGAATTGCTGAAGATAGCTACGGTAGATAGGTTTTGATGACCTGTCTAATTTCACTGAGTGGATGCCCGAGTTAGTGCGCCTCGTTTTAGCTGTCCAGACTGAGTCTCGCTCCAACCACTCACGTTAGAAGACGCTGCCAGCTCCCTCTATGTTTCTGTACACCCGCTGTAAATATGCTGTGGCAAGTTAATTATTTGAGGCTGATGAACGACATAATGTTTTGATGATAGAGTCATAATTCTTAGCCCTTAATAAGTCACATTGCATTAATTAAAAGTGAAATAATTGCGTATTTATGAATATCCAATACGGCAATACCCAAACTCTTTTTCACAAAAGGAAATTACGTAGAAAACTGCACATTACTGGATCATAAATTTAAGAGACAATAAATTCAAAACTAACCTGCATGCATTAATAACCATTTATTTAACATTACCTGAAGACTGAAGTACATTGGTTCAACCCTGCGGCGACACTCAAAATACAGCGAAATAAAGCAGACTACCCACTATTGCATTGAAGTTAACAAATCAGTTAAAACTACTCAAATTATCGCATATTATTATGAAACATACTTTCATCGTATAGGATAAGCCAAAATGTAAAATAAATTATCGCATTCCTGTGACAAGGCCTCGAGGAGGATAGCAAAGGATCCGACTTTCAGAAATTTCCTGCATAAATTTATTTGCACTTTTGGAAGTTGGAAACAGTGGAAGAGGCGCGCACAGCAGTGACAGGTCCTCAGTCCTCTTGTTCAATAATTTCTTTTGATGAGTCATATGGGCAGCTAGCTCAGGCCTTTAACAGCCACTGGCGTGCATACTGGCAGACTCAGGTTGCTGCTACTGGTTGTGGCCAATTCAGATACAACCTTGATGGATGCATCACTTATATAGATTATAGCTCTCTGACTAGATCTCTGCAGTGTGCGGTGGCCCGCCTTCGTCTGGGCCATGCAGGCGTGGGTGCCAGAAATAATTCATCTGCAGAAATCTTGCGGTTCTGGAAATGGTGGGAACTGGGAATTTAGTGGGAAAGCTCTAGTCACGGCCCTAAAGATTGATGTTTTCCACATTTGCCGTAATACAGTCCAGAGTGCCAGGATTGACGCAGAGAGGCGCCGGTTTGATCCCAGGTTCCCAGCTCTGTTTGCCAGTTTCTGGTCAGAATTGGCAAGGAGGCCGGGCAGGGTGGAATTCTAGAAATGGAGGTTCACTTATAAAAAAGCTTTCCACTCAAGGTGAAATGCTTTCCCTAGATACAGTGCTCTGCACTCTGCAGTCTGTCAGGTGAGTGACTATAAATGAAAAGGAGGATCAAAAGTGGACAAACTGTTTCAATTGTATAGTACCTCAGATTTGCTATAAAATTGTTTAAATGTCTCTTTTTTTTATAGATATTTTCTATTTTTCTTTTATTTAATGGATTTTTTGAAAATTTTCCAGGTTTTTTGTTTGTAATGATCAAGTTTAAGTTAAGTACCTATTACCCTGGACCAGAATATGGAAGGCCTCTGTAAGTCTGTTGCTTGCTCTCCAAAGGGAACTTTTTTGAGCAACATGAAGGAACCCAGGCTGTGTCGCTGCGACACTGGCTAATGGCTTTGATTCTGCCTGAAGAGGCTGAAGTCATGCAGACTAGTATAGTGTGCTGCTGCCTGACTCAGAAAGTCAGAATTGAACGTGCCGGTGTTAGATGTCACTTGCTGCCTTGCACAGATTCAACATGACTTGACTACATGAGCGAATCAGACTAGACTCCTTCAGTCCTGCCGCTCCTGCGTGCTGCGTTGGGAACTTGTTTGCATTCGAGAAAAGACAAGAGGCTTTGTTACCGGTTTGCAAATGAAAACCAGGACAATTTTCAGCACTCCATGGGCAAGGTGGCCCAGTGGTTACCGTAATTATTATACAGGATTGGAATTTTCCTACTTGTTTCTGAAATCTCGCAGCTCCAACGTGATAAATTTTTAATACAATTAGAATCTCGTGGCCCGATTGTGCACTTTTGTTAACAATTAGATAGGAAATAATTCATCTGCAGAAATCTTGCGGTTCTGCTTCTGGAAATGGTGGGAAAGTTCTAGTCACGGCCCTAAGGCCTAAAGATAGACGTTTTCCACATTTGCCGTAATACAGTCCAGAGTGCCAGGATTGACGCAGACCAGGTCAGGCAGGTCTCATACAGTGGCAATAGTCGTTGGAATTTCAACGACTTTCGCTGAAGTTATCGACCAATTTTTTTTACTTTACAATGACTTTCGAGCTAAAATAATAGGTCATTTATCTTTTTCAACGACTGTCAACTAATGGGACTCTTCCACAATAAACTTATGACGACTGCCAACAAGCGACTTAGCGAGACCCGACAAGATACGACTGCGGTACTGACTAAAACCCAGACCCCTACAGCGCATTATGAGCGGCGGATGTAAAATGTTCAGCCCCGGGACAACGCAACCATCATATGTATTGAAGCTTGCAAAAATAATCGGACAGATTATGCCAGTGTTTTTTTTTCACTTAGAAGCTAGAATCGAACTTTCTTGAGGAAATTTTTTGCATGTTACATTTTTATTTTAACCTTGACATGTAACTGTGTCATGACATGTACTGTGTGGAATTCTGTATAGTTAATATATTCTCATGTTAATATATGAAAACGTATCGAAAAATCAACCCGGTATTATTGCAGATTAACTACATCCAAAAAAAAGGGTGTTTTTTTTTTTTTAATTATATGTTTTTTGGGGTGTAGATTATGAATCTGAAATCCATTTTTGGCGGTCGGCATCGGAAAACCGATTTTTTTCGCGACTTACTAACATGGGGGTTACGTAACTTACGTTACCCACTCACCTTTATTTACTAACATGGGGGTTACGTAACTTACGTTACCCACTCACCTTTATATAAAGGGTCGGATTGTTCATCGAAATTTTACAAAAAGCTCTTAGGTTGGGTTAAGTCAGCCAAGTTCCTTTTTTTAGATAGCATTTTGATCTAAAAGGAACCTGGGCGAACCAACCCAACCTGCGAGTTGGCGTTAGGTTGTGATCTCTCGATGTGGCAATGTATCTCCAGATTTATGGACAAAGAAGACGAAAATGTTACCCGTTGCAGTNAATGAACGCATGGAACTAAAACAAAGCTTAATATAAAGGAAAAACTAGAGAAGTGACGGAATTACCTACGATGTCGGAATATACCGCGTTTACCCTACATTGATGATGGAACTAAAACAAAGCTTAATATAAAGGAAAAACTAGAGAGGTGACGGAATTACCCATGATGTCGGAATATACCGCGTTTACCCTAGATGGTCCAGTCTGAGTAGAATAGAAAATAGAATCAATAGATAGGGTAAACGCGGTATATTCTGATACATTAATGATGCATCAAGAAATGAAAAACTATAAAAAAATAACCGTATGCTAGTCTGGAAAAGTCCTATTTTTGTCTGAAATATCGCGGCTCTAATATCATATAATTTCAGTAGGTATGAAATCTCGCGGCTCAAAGTTCAAGACTGCAAAATGCTGTGAATGTTCTGCAATGTTATTGTTAAGAATTGGTGACAGGTCTACAGCCTTATAAATGCTGAAACCGCTATTATATTGATATGGGTATTCTGGCCCTCTGGGTCTGGGATGATAGCTAGGGTAAACGCGGTATATTCCGACACTTTAAGGACGCATCGAGAAATGAAAAACTATGAAAAAAACATATGCGTTACGTAAGTTCTGTTGCCTTCACATGACTCTCAAAATACTTCACTACGCGTCAGCAACGATGAAACGTCACAAAATGTTGCCATATTTATTAAAAAGCCTTTAGAATGGAAACCTACCAAATCCCTATATTCAAAACAAAGCTTAATATAAAGGAAAAACTAGAGAGGTGACGGAATTACTCACGATGTTGGAATATACTGCGTTTACCCTATCTATCCTCCAGCAACAGGGTCTTGAGTGACAGCCCTTGCTCTGGTTTTATTTCCATTTGTAATGAAAAATCTTGAGATAAGAGGTGTAACACAGTAACACTTGCACCTGCTATATGACATTTTGTAGTGATAGAGGTTCTTGAGAGTGGAGGATGTGTTCCCAAACTTCCCATCATTAGCCTTGTAAATATTGCCACATAGTTTACATTGGCTGCTGGTCTAGCTGACACCTTGTGACCTCTGTCATTTTGAGTTGTACCAGCTTTGAGCTCCTAAAAAATTTTCAAATGTTGCCTTTGACTCTTGACATCTTGCACTGCAGAGAAAAGAGGACCATTCCAGTCCACAGTCTTCTAATTCTCTGACTAATAGACAATGTGGATGTCACAAACTTGCAATGCGCACCTGAACTTGTATGGAACACTTATACTGAACTTGTACAATTATTGCATAAGGCTTGGTTAAAGGCTAGACATCAACATTCACTCAATCAATATTCAGCCATACATTGCTAAATCTGCCACTAATTTACCTGCTAAATTAGTTTTTCAGCCAAATGTCTTCACATCTGCACATGACTTTCAATTGCTCATTAACAATCAGGAGCTAACTTGTTATTCGTTAATCTGCTTGCTCAGAAAGTCTCATTTTGTCTCGAATATTCAAGGCATGTCTTGTCTTGTTATGTTAATTCTTGTAGCATTTCTACCTGCCTTGTATCATTTCATAATTACTGGGACACAAGTTTTAAAGTCCGGGACACAAGTCTTGTCCCGGTTCATACATTTATTCCAGGACAAATTTTACACTCTGCCCCATTATTTTTGTCCTGGTAATTTCTTGTCTTGACCCGTTTGTCCCAGTTCATTTTGAGAAAATTATTCTGAGACGCAGCAGTCTAAATCAGACCAATGTACTACCAGTGCCAGGGCTGGAAAAGTCCTATTTTTTTCTGAAATATTGCAGCTCTAATATCATAATTTCAGTGGGTATCAAATCTTGCAGCTCAAATGTCATAAATTTTTGTTTGATTTAAAAAATAGCGGTTTGCACTTTGCAAACATGTCGTTTAATAAAATTTGTGACTCCACAATCCGCAGTATATACCTATACTTCAATGCTCCTGCCTCCTGCCAAAATAACATGCAGAATGTAATAACAAGTTGACCCGATATGTTTCCTTGAAGATTACGTAGCTGCAGTCACGCCAGAGTGGTCAGACTGCATTATCACTTGTTCAGTTGCTGCTTAAGTGAAGACAAATGTTGGTGACTGTAATTAGGGTAAAATTAGAGATGTGGGGTAACATGTGCATGGGACTTTGTAAATAATAAGTTTACGGCTTGTAAATGGCTTTTCATGGCCAAGATATGGATTTTACGGCTTGAAGAAATGGAATCACGGCTGGCAAACCCATAAAACCACTGCTCAAAAAATCCATTCTTGGCTCGCCAAGTAGACATATTCCATGCCTGTGTACTACCTGCAACACAGTGGATACATAAATAAATACCGTAAAATGGGGTTAATTTGACCACTTTTTTCAAAACGATGCCATTTTTTTACTTGATAAGTTAAACTTAAATTGAAACATGCAAAATACAGGTCTATACTCTAGCTTTACTCACCATAAATTGCTGGCTCCTGCCTCTCATAGTTTTGATGTAATTTCAAAAAAAGTGATGGTCTTTGTTACCCCAGCTTTTGGAGTTTCTTCGACTGGGTGGTAAAATCAATTTTAATTTTTTGGTAAAATAACTCCAAATAACTCTAGATTGTGGTGCATTGTAGTAGAACTCTTCTAGTTACATATGCAAAAGACAGATTTTAGGAAAGTGTCATTGTTTGCAAATGTGTGGCGCCGCCTCCCAATGGGCGAAATGTGACCACCTAATGGCAGCCGTGACGGGGTAACATTGACCGGTTTGAAAATTAAGATAAAATTACCATATATAAGACTCTGTAGAGTTTGAAACATGAAGAAAAATACATTAATAGGTGTATCAAACATAAAATATGTTATATAGGTAACCCCATTTGCAAACTATGACACTTTCCTAAAATTTGTCTTTTGAATATGTAACTAGAAGAGTTCTACTACAATGCATCAAAACCTGGAGTTATTTTACCAAAAAATAAAAAAATTGGAGGGGGTACTCTGACAGGCTTTAAATAATCGCTCTTTTTTGTGGGTCACACTATTAATTTTTTAACCTATTAGATATGCAAACTTTTTAAATCTTTCTATTGTGTTACATAGCCTCAGTATTAGGCCTTTGATGGCCATTGACAAAATTTTTCTATGTCAAATCGTTTTTGAGTTTTGGGGGTTTTTGTCAAAAAAACGAAAAGTGGTCAAAGTTACCCCGCCGGTCAAAGTAACCCCATTTTACAGTATATGAAAAAACATTTTTAAAAACCACGTCTTTCTGGTGGTGACAAAACTAAAAACAATGAAAAAAAAAATGTCCGTTATGAAAACCACGTTTTCTTAACGGACAAAAAAGAAAAACATTTACTCTTACATAATATTTTACATAACTTTAATGTTATAATGTAAGAGTAAATGTTTTTCTTTTTTGTCTGTTGAGAAAATCTGGTTTTTAAAAGTTTTTTTTATTAGTTTTATTTCATTGTTTTTAGTTTTGTAACCACCAGAAAAATGTGGTTTAAAATTTTTTTTATATATTTATTTATTTTCTACCTTTTAGTTGAGCAATTGTAAAATTTAGTGACAAAAAACTTTATTCCCAACTGTGAATTTTTAGTTTTTTTTAATTAAAAAAATTTCAATTTTTTTTAAATCATTACTTCTGATGATCAAATCTTGAATTGTTAGGCAGCATAAGCATGCATGCTGAATTTCAAGTTTCTAAAATCTTCAGAAGTGCTCTAAATTAAGGTTTGAATTTTTGATGACAGACAGAGACAAAGCATACTATGAATACATACTGTATATGTATGTACATGCATAATCTATGTTATCCTACTTATATTATATATGGATTTGGTAATATCATATTGATAGAAGAAAAACGAGTAAAAATCACAGAAAATGTAATATTTATTTTACATCTACATCTTCTACAAAGGAAGACAAGGACTTCAGAGTACTGTTAGTAATGGATGAGTACACTCTGCATGCTTCAAACATTTTAAAACTAAGTTTTATTTTAAGTGTCCCTAATTACCCCATCAAGTGTAATTAATAACCCTGTTCCCAGGGATAATTAGGGATGCTTTTATTTAGCGTTTGTCACTTTACAAATGGCATATGGAATTTTTTTTAGAGATGCCATACAATAGCCCTTGCAAGGGCCTGTACAATGAGCCCAAACTTGTTTATAAAATGTTTCATGGTAAGAAGTTATTAACAAAAAACGCTCAAAACTGTCCCTTATTACCTTGTTTGATGGTCTATACTCTATATACTATGGTACTGTTTTAAGACAGCCAATTGTGAGATGACCATGAAATACATCATAATCATACCTACTTCATAATTAAAATAAAATTTTCATCAAAACCTATCCAAAAGCTTCATTTTTATTTGAAATGTAAAAAAACCATGAAAAATAAAAATTGATCTAAAAAATTATCAATTTGCATGCATTTGAATAGGTAGAGTTTGCATAGGGGCTATTTTGACCAGAATTGATGTACCAGAGAACTACGGTACTCATTTTTTTATGCTGGCAAATAATTTTTTTCATTTAATTTGATTTGATGAAAATTGTGCAGAAATAACAACTTCACAGGCATAACATAATCATGTCAGATGGAAACACGTCTAGTTCACATGCTTCTTCCACGAGTACTGTTGAAATCAGTAGGGCAGCTTCACAAGAAGCATCAGGTGACCTGAGCAAGCCTCAAGACGATCCAACTTCAGCATCAGCTGTTGATGCCAGCTCTACACAACTTATTCCTTCACTGGCTGAACAATCTTCTAATCAAGCAACAGTTCAAGTTCCTGATTCAGTTCCTGATCCAGTAAGATGCCCAGTTCCTGATGCAGCCTCTACACCAGCATCTGATTGTAGCACCTCTCAAACAGTGGATTCTGCAGCTTCAACGCCTGGAAAATTGGCTCACAATAAGAGCACTGATGAGAAAAGTAAGGGTATTTGTTTTTTTTATACATAAGAATTTTTGTGAATACTGTACACATGTCACCATGTATGAATTTAATATTTGAATTTTTAAGATTGTAAATATGTTAGTTGGACATTTCATTCCAAACAACAATAGGTGTTTGTAGGAGGTAAGCTCTGATGTATGTGTTATACTAGATTTATCAGAAGATCCAATTGTTTGTTTAATATTTCAGTAAAATTCTTACATTGCAAAACTTCATAATGAAAAAGCTTTTCAAGTTATTTTTAATTATTTGTACCAGATTTTTTCCCTCTGGGTTTTACAGATCCTAATGACATTTTTAATTCGCAGTCGAGATTATTTTGAAAGCAACTGGTGATGCCCCAATTATGAAGAAAACAAAGTGGAGTGTTGTACGCAGTCGCTCTGTCGGTTGGGTGGCTACCTTCATTAAGAAATATTCTCATTTGCCCGACACTGACACCTTGGTAAGGCATAGATCACTTAGAAATATTTCTAAAATTTTTATAGTGTTTCAAAATTAAAATATTTTTTAACTCAACATTGCAAATTTTTCTTAAGACACTTCTTAAAAATTGACTGTCAATTTTCATGAGTATTTTCCAATTAGTGTAATTTGGTTAAAACAAGATGGCATTCTTTTTAGCGCATTTTCTCATTTATGGAAAAAAGCCCTATTGTGCTCGTCATACCCGTCCGTCCGTCTGTCTGTCTGTCCGTGACTTCACGTTTTCGTTGACGAGAATATGCGCTCTCTATTACTCACTGCAGTGAGTACTGAGTTATATTTTTTGTATATTGCATTTTTCCATACATAAACTAAAATTGCAGGAGTCTAATTCAGGCCATAAGTAATCCTGGTAGATAGATGTTGTTATTATATTTTCCTTGTTTATTTCAGTTCCTTTATGTGAACCAAAGCTATGCGCCTGCGCCGGACGAGCTGCTCGACAACCTCTACTCCTGCTTTGGTGCTGACAACAAACTTGTCTTGCACTACAGCAAAACTCAGGCTTGGGGCTGAGCTATTGTGCTTGGCTTAAACTTCTTTATGTACGTCTTCGTTTATCTTGAGGCAAACATGCTTAGAGAATAAGTCATAAGTTTTCTCTTTCTAATAACGAACATTCATCGTGATTTAAATTCATTACTCTCATTCATCACCAAAATTAAAGAAGGACAAACCAGAAGATGCATCTTCGAGGTTCGTTCTAATGTTTGATAGAATTTGGTGCTTGAAACAGCAAAACCAGGTTTGAGGCATTATATATATATTTTGTTTAATTTATATGAAACTGACATATAACGTTTTATCGTCAAAAAGGCTCCTTAGCTTGAATGTGTTCAAGTTTATTTTGTTTTATCAACACATTCACTGCATGCACGTCATGTGGTACAAATAAGAGTGCTATTTACCAACAATAGTTTTGAATCGCTGTTGGGAATTGTGATGAATAATTGTAACTATTGAGGGAACAACCTCCATGCAACATCATACTGACAGAAGCATATTTTGTTCGATTTCAGCTAGTTTATCAGGATGAGAGATCCATTAGATCTATGATGGAGAGGAATTGCGCTTGTCTGTGATATTTACTTGAACTTTTACGCAATTTTATGTATTTAACAATCTATAGAATGATAGACTCTAGTAGTGCACGCAATTAGAAGACTGTCTCATGGATGAGTAGCTATGACTTGTCCAATTCATTAATTGAATTAGGCGTCCGCCTTGTAGATGTGGTATCAATTGCATTGAAGAATGTGTTGTCACACAATTTACCTCTTTTAACCTTCTAAATTAATGATGCATTTCCGAGTGGCGAGGGCAAACTTTGCAGTAATTTTAGCTTCTTGGATCATAGTTCGACTTCAGCAGTACGCTAATATAACCTTGCATTATCTCCTGTTCTTTATTTCACGAAAGTTGGATATTTCGTAATAAAATGAAACCATTGTTAAGTGCAAATTATTTTATTTATTTTGCATTAATAGGCATCTTCAAAACAATCTTTTTCTCGCTTAAGTGATCCATGTAGGATCGGAATATCACATGGGAATGGGGCCTAAACCTACTGTATGCGGAATTCAGAAGTGCTGTTTAAACCGCGTCTATTGTGTAAGTTTAACAGAAGCATGGATGAGAGACCTTGCGTATATTGTAAGACCATCTCTTAACTTTTTAAAAAAAATTACTTTCCCTGCGCATTACATGCCAAAGATGTTGCCAAGTGTTTTTTCCCCAGGACACGGTGACAAGATAATGCTGACTTACGGTTGAAGCTCCTCACATATTAAAATTCTAATCTCTTTTACTGTGCTGTCGAGGAGCGCATGTTTCAAATTAATACTATTATTTTAAAAAATTTTCAAATCTCATTTTAGAGCTTAGGATTCCCTTCGAGCTAACTCTCCTCCACTAACTATTTAAAGACGGCCAAGAAAGGGTAAGCCCTATGGGTCCTGTCGCGACATATTTAGCTTTGTTATCTGGAGTAAAAGTTTAGCACTGCACAAAACGTTCCAACACAAAGGCAGTGATAAGATTTGCCATAGCACATGAGACGCATAGTTTTCAATCGAGTCTATTTACGTGTACAAGATATTTAATCAACTACGCAACGCAAGACTTCAAATGGACTGTGAAAAAATGCTTATCAACGGCATTTTTATATAACAGTTCTCGTACACCTTTGCTTGAATTGATCAACAGGAAGAAATGCTTCGCAACTACACTCATGTTCACCAAATGCCCGGAACCTCAAGATATATGCCAATTCGTAGAAGATCCATTATCATATTTCAATACAAGATAATCGTTTATAACGCGCTATAAGTGCGTAATACATGGTCAACTTAATGCCAAGAACATAAACAGCAACGATGGCTGTAGGTACTAACATACAACTTGCCAATACGAAAAAGATCCGTGAGGAAACCTACTGAAATTAATACATGGAACGAATGCCTATTACACTACTCTCTTCAAGAACAATGAGGTTACTGTACCCTGGTCAAACATTTGAATTTAACCATGCAAAAGAGGGATCTTAACCAGAGGGGTATCTAATGCATCTATTATCTAGTCGCATTACCTCGAAGACCAGGCTGGCAAAGCTTAACTATGATATGGTGAACCCCGGTAAGAACAATTAATCAGCAGGAGTAAACGCGATGGTGATTAGCTATGAGGCAAGAATGTAGTACGAAGGCTGCGAGGCAGGTGCTATAGGAACATACGATCGAAAAAAATATATTTCCAAACCCGTGTTCGAACATCGAATTTGCAGAGTTAATTTTGAATACGCCATAGACAGTTTGGGTGAATAATTGTGATTGCAAGTGGCGGTAGTAAATAACAACCAACGTTTACCAGGACACTCGACGATCAATAACTTATTTGATGCTCATCATTGAATCTTAGGCCACAAATCAGGAGACCAACACACATGCGATTCCATTTCAGGACTAAATATCAACGAGAACACACGAGACAACAGACGATTCGAAAGGCAGTTCTCGTTTAACTGTGTAGATCATATGATGCAACTAAGAAGCGTTGGTGAGTAACAAGAACAATAGATAGAGCTTAAGCTAACAGCATTTAAGACACCTTTCTATAGCACTGTCTAATTTTGAAGGCTAAAAATTCGTCTAGCGAGAGAATTTTTCCAACTTCATGGAAGAGTTCAACTAGATGATTGTAGAGGCATTCTTGAAAGGTAGGAGAGAAATATTTGGTGATAGCTAAACATTTACTTTTTGAATAGTGAGCGGTCCTCTTCCGTTTCTCAAACACAAAGGAAAGAATATAAATATTGGCAATATAATATTTGTGCACGAGGCATTTCTTAGCTTTTGAAAGAATTAGCGCTTCGTTTTAGTCAGAACAACACCCATTATGTTACCTTTAGTAGTTGCAGATCAATCAGTAGTACCAGGATCAATAACCCTTTCTTCACGCAACAGAAGAATAAGGAGAACATAGACTAGCATCCAAGGTACTGACATTTTATGTGAATGCCAATGCAGCAGTTGTGGCTCACGAGAAGCCATCGGTGTTTATAAATTCATCGTTGGCACTAGCATCGAAGTGAAAAAAGTTCAGATAACTTGGCGGTTTACAAATAAAAACTAGCGGAGATTATGGAAGATATTTAATGCACTGCAGAATGACTATGATAAAAACCGCACAAGAACAAACAACTTTCAGCAATACTTAATCCTTGTGTATTGATCCCATTACCATAAAAGAATGATCGGGCTGCACAGCGAACCATCGCAAAACAGATCAAACTGTCAACGAAGGATGAATGTTGCAGTGAATGACTTAAGTACATGGGAAATTAAAATACATGAAATCGCACTGTGCGTCAAGCAATATGATCACTAACACAAGCAAGTACAGGTCAAAACGAAAAATTCCTTGTCTGCTATTACAGCAGACTTATATATCCATTGATTAAAATAATCGGACAACGAAAAAAATATTCGAATGACCATAACCGAACTTCAGAGGAAGGTAGATAACATGCCATCAAATGTTGGAACAATAATTCCTTTTGGCTAAAAATTCATATTTGGAAAGCTTTGTACTGCAACAGAAAGCTAATGAGGAGGCATCACATATCGACTAGTGTGGCGCTGTCAGACAAGGAAACTCTGGACAGCAGAGCCATTCCAACTAGATTGCAGACAGGCCAAGAAGTGTCCTCACTGCAACATGATAATCGATATATTCCGAGTAAATAAAACTGACATTTTACACAAAGTAGACCTTTGATAGACGAGAGAAATTATTAAATAGTAAATGATGGAAAAGCACTGCTGTCTGAGCTGCCCTTACGAGCTCAGCCCTTAACCTTACACTGACTTCTCGCCGCCCAGACGAAAGCCTCGCTATAAGAGACACAATGCACTTCCCGGTGAAATGTTCCTAATTCGTTAGAAGACATCTGACAAATTCAACAGAAACCTAGAATATAAATAGTATCACTATTTTCATTATTAGGCATAGGAAGTTATACCATTTACAACACTTATGTACAGAAACGTTTTAACAGAATGGTGAGATCTGGGGATGTAATCTAGTGCGCTCGGATGAAGCGAACAGCACCTGGATGCGTCAGTGAAGGCCCAGATCACATCGTCATCGTGGTCTAGAATCACTTCCAATAACCACAATAATTCTCGTAGCTAGACTACATCATTATTTATTCAGCTAGAAACCCAGATAACTATGGCCTTGTATCAGTAACATCAGGACTTATAAAGGGCGCATCGCCTTCTGATGGAGAAGCTGGCGCACCGTAAGAACTTAGAGGTTCTTCAGGCCTAACTGCTCCTGATAGAGGCTCGGCAGCGTCCACCCCCGGCGTGTTGGCGATGGCAGGAGACGTCCTGCCACTGCCACCACACTCAGCGCTGCAGTGTCTCACGGCCTCCTGCAGGGCGGCGCTGGCGCTGCTCTCCCCCTTGCCATCAGGCTTTCTATCGTCAGGGTGGAGTCGTAGCGCTAGCACGAGATCATGTAATATTTCCGTCTCCTTTTCTTCTATTAATCTAAAGCGTTCATTGAAGAGTGTGAAGTGGGCGAATATGCAATTAAGGTGCGCGTGGAGCGACAGCAGAACCAACTCTCGGAAGTGGCTGTGATAAAGATGGGCTATCACGTGAAATAGTAGTCGATGAATTTTCTTGACGATGGATTCGAACGACACGGGGAAGTCATTTTCTGCAAGACAAACCGATCATTAGTGGCCACGCACGTCACAGGAATTGGAGCATAACGTTTCTCTCAGCAAGACAAGCAAACAAAAACGCTTGTTTAGAGGCTCTTGTAATGGTGAAGTAAGAACAGACAAAGAAAAAACTGCGGTGCTACTTCAAACCACGGGTTTTCAAGTGTTTGGCAGTTAAGTTCGATTTTGGTCATCATCGCATGAAAAATATCTTGAAGATATTGGAATTTCCTGCGCACGTTACATTGGCCATAGATATAACCAATTATCAGGATTTGAACATGATGTTGATGTTTCAGTCATCTCAAAGACATTTTAAATCTATGGTTCAATTATGATATATAGAATCGAAAATTTTTATTCTGAGGTTTTCCGCGGGAAACATACCGAATTTAGTAGGGAAGATAGTTTCGTCGTTGATGGTTTTCTGCGTGAAAGTCATGACGTAATCAATGTACTGAGGGGCGGCCACCTTCACCTTCTTGCCCTTCTCATCGAACCAGAGGTAGGGGCGCGTCGTGGGTCCGCTCATGTCCGAGCAGCCGCTCATCGTGCAGTACTCGGCGATGGTGCCGTACACCAGGTTGATGTGTTGGAAAAAGTCGATTGCTGCAAGAAATCACACACTATTAGCGTTGCGGTACATAAAAATGAGGAATTAAGTGATAGTTAGTTGGCTATTGAGAAATCTTAGAGCATGTTGTTGAGAATTTTTACGTACAGATCTTATCAATAATTATAAAATAAAATATTTGCGGCCTTAGGCCATTAAAGGGGCTAGTCGTTCAACTATTAACAGCGATAAATTTTACTAGCATAATTTTTCTTTACCTTTATGTAAGCTGTTTTAGATAGCAAGAGCTATTCGATAGTAAGTCGAGGTGAAGTGATGTTCAACTCTAAATGATATATAAATGATATATTCTCTAAACGAGATAAATGTACTGAGAATTTTTATATTTTTAAGTACATCGTTTAATATGTTGGAAATAAAATATCGAATAAATTCACCACACGCTCTGTAGACGAACTTTTTCTAGATTGGAACCTGAGATTCGAAATAAATGCGAACGGACTCAAAAAAATATGACTACAGAAATTTTGCGGTTCGTTAATGATATACGACGGCGCACCCACAAAAACCAGAGCTAAACGGAGCGTAACATAAGAGAACAAATTATCGCTCCAGCGAGTAAACCAACGATCAAGAGTAACGGAGTGAGACACCCTGATACGCGTACTACTTTCTCGCGGATTTCCAATAAATAGCAAGCCAGTGACTTCTAAACCTCAAAATTTAGAAAGAGCATTAACATATATCAAATCTATATTTAAAATTAAAACAAAATGCGCATCCAAGTTTTCCTCAATCTGGACAATTCCAGTATGACTTTTTTCTGTATATATGACTGAAATTCGAGTTCGATCTAAAGAACGACCAATAAACTTTTCAGCTTAATTATTTATATGCATGCAAGTATCAGTAATTGACGCTATATGCACATACGACTATGCATGTCCGACGACGTTCGAATATTGCTATGTGGGCTGGCGCCTGCTGTGCTTGCTAACGGTATAGTGTAGCAAGACTAGCAGCTGCACCTAGGAACTTTACACTGATCGTGTTCCTCAAACGAATAATCATCGCCACTACATAAATTTCCGATGAAATTATTCATACGTTAAATTCATTTATCTCAGTAGTGCAGATGGATGTTGCTAGTGCAACATAAGGGTCGAATTGTTCACAGGCAGATAGGGCTGGTTAACGAATTCGAATGGCGTCATTATGTCCAGCTCCCACCTATACGTACGCGCCTGCTAGGCATAATGAATGGCCGAAATAATAGAACGCACCACGAATCCCCATCCAAGAGATTTAAGCAGACATAATGTCCCACATATGCGCACCTTCCAGTCAAAATCAATAGAACTGAATAAAATGCAGCACAAAACCTAATCAAAAGTTTTAAATATTAGACACATATAATTTGCAGAATATGTCATTCGGTTCGCCGCTATCGTCAATCAATTAGAGAAGTATTTTGAGAATTGAAATAAAACGAAGGGCGATGAAAAAATGACAATAAAGAAAGACGCACAACGAGGCGAGGAAAATTTGCTTGTATTTTCCTTTCATATTCGGTAAGTTCCGGCACACCTTGCAGGACGATGAACGAATTGTTCATAAGATTTACGCACATACAAATATGTGAGTGCGTTCTGAGCGTTGCTTGAATCGTTCTCTCATCTCTATTGCAAAAAGATGTCTCGGCTTATAAATTCCATTTAATCACGATGAAGTCACTAAAATGTGGCGAAAATGTAGCTCAGCAATTGGACCGATCAAAAATTTGGTTCGACCTCAAAGAACGCATGAGTGACGCTTCCGCGTGAACGAGCGAAGCGCAAACCCAAGCGGCTTCCGGCAAAAATGTCCAACTCATCAAAACTGTGAGCGAAACACCGTGCATGGATATCTAACAATAAAATACGAGCAAAAAGTTATTAATTAATTGAATAAGAATGGAACACTAGCGACCACTTATCAGCAGACTCTTTCTAATGTTTGAGTCTTTGAAAGAAATATGCATACGTAAATAATTACAGAATTCCACTACATTAACGCAAAAATTCGACTAGAGAGTAAATCCTATTAAAGTGTTCCGTTGCTTTCGCAAATAGTTCGTAGATAAGTTCGAGGAGGCCATCAACAAGAATTATAGGAGTTTTACCGTAAAGACTTCATAGTAACGAGTAGATATATTCAAGGTTGTCAACACGAGAGACTGACAGAACAACGGTCTGCTGAGGAGTATACGATTTGCCTCATTAAAACTATACCGATAGTCACGGTAGTCAGCCCGAGAGATGAACAGAGCAACGGTAGACAACGGAACAGCTATCAGCGAGAGATAGCGTGTTATCAGAAACGACTCGCACAGCGATCAATCCCTTATCTGCTGACACCATTCAACTTACTTCTCAAAGTTGTACTCAATACATAAAACTCTGACTTCATTGCATGTTAATTTTTGAGCCGTATTTAGAATTTTCAATACCAGTGCCATCACAATCTTACATAGCAGATGTTGTAGATTGTTTAAGTACATCGATGCGATAGCTATGATTCATACGCGACCAAATAAACCGTGCATGTCCAATACCAGACTTCTAACACAATGAATGATATTGAAAATGTCTATTAAAAGTATAAATATATCCATGACAACTGAGTGAATATGAAATGAAAATATGTTATTTTCGCTTGAAAACATGAAAAAAATGTACGATGAAAACCAATTGGATGTATCGCAGAGCAGCAATCTTAACGTGTGCGCAGAATAAATCGCTACGTTACCTGCATGCTCATCCGAGGAACACAAATATAAAATAAGACGATGATATCCACAAGAGGCTCTGAAAAGCTTTGTCTGTGCTCTAAATACATAAAGGCGCTGTTATATTGCGCTATAAGTACATACCTATAAGCGCTGTTATATTGCACTAATAAATATATATAACCGCGTATTAATTATACCTATCACGTCGGGATTAATTAGCATTTAATTTTTTTTTCAGGAATGGAAACCTGAGTGCGAAACGGGGGAAAACAGAGCTGAGAAAAAATTGTACCGATTACACGATTAAATTAACATTATACTCGAATATACATAATAAATAAAATTTCCTCCTAATTTGAAAATGGGATAAACCGTAACTCCAAGGTAACTTTAGCATGAACGGTTATTTCTGTATCTAACACAAGAATTTTAGCTCGGCCTTGTACGGAATAATCCTTGCAATTTGAGAATTACGTTCTTCCTAATCGACATCTAGAATCAGGTCATCCCAAATCCAGTCATTCCGAATGCAGTTGAAAATTCTGAAACTAAAGATATTGCAATTAAGCAGAGAGCCAGAGACCCCGCCAAATCCACATTTAGAACGGAACTTCCATTCAAGTTCTGTTCGAAAATGTAAATACAATTTTAACTTTTTATTTCTAAATAAAATTTACACTTGCCAAATTAATAAATCGCATTTCAATCATTAAATCTACCTTCATCTTCCATTTTCCAAAATAGAGAATTCCATCCTTAGAAATAAAACTCACAGGTAATATCCCAAGTTTTCCCGACACATAAGTGTCTGGGACAGGGGCCAGATTTCTCCCTGTATATTTGTGATACCAGGCATCAAACCTCCAAACAAACTGTGACAAATACAAATATATAAATTTTATTTTAAAATTAGTTACGGATTCGAGATGGGATTCTAAAATTTCAGGGAATCATTTATGCCCGAGCACTGCCGGGTTCACCCGTTAGCTATAAAATCGAATATAGATAAAACCCGTAAGTTACAGTTTACAATGCTGCTCGGAAGTGGATAAGGATTTTAACGAGTAATTAAGAAAACAACTAACGAAATTAAGGAGAAAACTTTCCGGACACGTGAGCGTGTTCTGCAAGACGCCAAAGAAATGAACGGAAAGTCAGTTCCGGCTACGTTGAGCTGACTATCAATGAATGAATGGCTGGAGGCGACATCCGTCAGTGGAGGGAAAGAAATGTCTTGTGCAGTCGAAACGAACGATCAAGAGAACACTCACTCGTCGACGAGCTTGAGTTAAGTTAAAAAATAATGCAATTTAATTTAGTTCTCATAACGGAACCAAGTTATTCATAATAATTCTAAGATATATTATTATAAATTGCATTAGTTTTACTAGTGAAGTTTTTTTAACGGCATAAAGAACTTAATCAAAATATTCACAAGATAATGTGAATATTATATATGTGAATAAGGGGATGTTTTTTATTGCAGTTTTCCAATGACGAACATTCTTGGGTTTTCGAGTTATAGTTCAGTTTATTATTTAATAAAGCATACCAGAAGAAACTAACAAAATACGTTATAATTTGTGTCTCATACAGCTCTCGAAGATGTACCGTGCGCGAGAAGCGGACATTATTGTTAGCCTTGCGTAAGATTGCGTCATAATGTGTGTGCGGATGTGTCTAACGGTTGCAAGGACAGTTTCAATAGGATCTAGGAAAGTTATGGTGTCTTCCAGCGACCGAACAAAGTAAGAAGTGGAAGGCGACGCAGATGCTCAGCAGCAACGGAAGAGAGCCGCCTACTTTCACTGGCACACTTGCCTGGTACGGAGCGAGTTGCACAAAAACGGTGCCTCTCCCGGCAAGCTAAGTAGCGCACGAGAGCTTTTCGCATGAGGTCGCCGAAGCGTGCAATTACAGCTCAGTCAATCAACAGAGTTCATCACACACGATGTGTGGGAAATCATGGTGAAGTTTAGCAGAACGGTCAAATAAGCTTTGTAATAGCTATGTGATAAATAGATAATAAATAAATAGATAATAGCTTTAATTTTAGACTAGAAATAATATACGTTTAAATAATTTTTAAAGACAACACTTCTAAAGAGGCCAGTGTATCCGACCTTATACATGTACAATGAATTTCTTTTTTTTTACTTTTAAATATAAAAAAAATCATTTTTTTATTTAAAAAATTCAATTTTTTAATATAAAACATTTCATTTTTTATATTAAAAATGTAAAATTATTTATTCTGTCAATTGATTCAAGCATTGTCCCCAACTTTATGCAAGTGTGCAAAATTTCCGATCGATTGAACAAGTAGAAGTTTGTTAAATATCGATTATAAGATTTGTAGCAGACAAACAAACAAACAAACAAACAAGAAGTGAAGTTAAAGAGAAGTGTTGCAATATAGTACTAAATTTAGACCAAAAACTCCAGTACGCTAACAGAGAGGACTGAACATGGCACAAAGCACATTTAAACAAAGACAAAGTTCAATATTCTACTTTGCATTGTTCATCATCAGACAAAGAATGAGGAGGTGCCATTTTTTTAGCTGGGGCTTGGATTACAGATGATATTTATGACGACCAATAACCATATCGCCGATAGCTTATCACGACTGGTGATGTTGGTTATACTGACTGTGTGAAGCGAGCCATTCGTGGTAGCCGAGACCAGGCGGCAGCTCCACTAGTTGTCTCAAGTCAGTCTCAGGAATCTTCCTCTCAAGCACGGCTTCCTCAAGATATAGCTTGTGCTCCTGTTCTGCTGCTGGACTCTCCCTTTCCTTGCGCCTGGCTTTCCTGAAATGATAGATATAATGTACGTTAATCATAAATACTCTATCAGTTTCAGGTTTAATAAGTTTTCTCAACAAAAATGTGAAAATCATCATTATATGACAAAATAACTGACGAAAACAGCTGCGTAAACAATAATAATTGACACTAAGCACTGATATTTGTGAAAGCTTAACTAAGCTTTTATTTTGGGCACAGTTCTTAAACCTACGAACATTCTAGTTCGAGGGTAAATAAATAGAGTTAGAGACAATTTCCCAAACCCGTTTATGTAAAGTAATGCAATTTTTTCGCAATATACGTTTTTGGTTCGTTTACAGTAAACGACTCGTAATACTTCATCCGGAAAGGATTCTATAAATACCTCGCAGAGAAAATACCACAAACGTTGTACTCTATTTCGAAACGGATGAGGTTGAATATCAAGAGAATTGAGAACGCGAAAGCGTCAGAAGCGAAGGCACGACAAGAATGCGGCACGCATGCCGCTCACAAGCATGCAGCACTGCATGGGAGCAGAGGTGTTGCTCCGAACTCGCATGACATTTGCTACCTTTGTCTCGAGACTTTCACGACGGAATGTTGGCACGGCGACATCAGAGAACATCAAGACAGAAACAATCTTAGTGCTGCTCGTATAAATTTAAGAACACCAGTACGAAACGCAGTACTTTACGGAAGTAGATCAATATCAATATGCACTACAGGACGAGTTAAAGCTATGGAAATTTCACTGCAATGAATGCAAATGAAAATTAAGATGCCCAACAGACATTGGGCGTTAACTGCATTTTTTTAAACTACGTTCAGTAAGCTTCGATTTTAGTTAATATCCTTTGCGTTGACGATACTGTACGTAGAGCACAGCGCAACGTCAAGCGCGCTGATTGCAAGGTATACAAGCTGTTATTTTAATAATAAACCGACGTAGCAACAATAGGAGCTCTGTAATAATGAATCCACACGATATGCAATGCATTTTTACCATCAAAACAAGAGTGGGAAAACTTTCAAGTGTTTCTAAGCTAGGGAATTTAAGTAGAGCGTTTCGACAACCCCAGCGTCAAGACGAGAACCTCGATGACCTTCGCCCCAAGCCTGATTGCCGACGAAAGATCTGGATAGATGAAGTACCGCCTGAGCTCTTCCGCATAGAACGCTTATACGTGGGTGCGGCGAGCAGGCAAGACTCGGAGCAGAGTTCAACAGAGGTCTGCAGTGAACACTCGGCCGCTCGGCTCAGCAGAGGGTGTAAAGGTTGATGCCACTAGCTGGCTAAGTTACTCGCAAAACATAAAAACAGTAAAAAAATGGTGATGTTACACCGATTTATTAATACGATACAATACTGCGCAAATATAGAATAAATAATGTAAATTTCGAAATTACCCAAAACGGCAAAGAAAATTCAAATTATAGGATAGAGAGCTTCGTACAGAATTGGCTTTAAACATTTCATCATGACAGCGCACAGGTAGGCATTCTTTATTCCTTCAGATTTATTTACCGTAACACAGACAAAAATTATACTTTTTTCAAGTCCCAGAAGATTAAAGCACGAACAGCAAGACGAAATAATGACAAAGAAGTTCCGCACGATGGGATCTCATCATGACTCGCCGAATCTCAAAGCTGAATAAGAACGCTCAGTGAAGAAGCATTAATACCCACTAACAGACGTGATTTAACGATACCAAAGCAGCAGTCGACGCACGGAATTTCGTAAAATTCCGCTCTTTATATAAAATTGTACATTTTCAATTGGTAAATCGAAGCTGATCGTGGGCAAAAGAAACGAATGTTGTGGTCATGGGAAGATGAAAATACGAGCAAGGTTATTTGATTTTAAATTCAGTTCCCGGATACGAGGTGAACCTAGAGTTGACACAAGAGTGCACGCAAGGAGCATGTGCTCATATGCGCATGGTGGCTCTTCACACTAAAGTGGGCAGCTCTCTGAGAGTTGATACGATGTATGGTGTAGAAGCTATCATGTAGCCAAGAGCAGCGAGTGCTATCAAGATATGTCGGATTCAACAGCGGTCTTTGACAGCTCTGCGGGGCCGAAGACAAGAGGGTAAATCACAGACAAGAAAGAATTGAGATGCAGAGCAAGAAAAAAACCCTGAAATTATTGGTATGAAAATGTGCGATCTGAATTTTTAATAATGTTCACACAAACATTTGAAGAAGACGCGGCAGTTTAATGTAGCTGCAACGAACTAGTCGAAGGATAGATCACTATAGAAATACTTAAATATTAGTTCGCACGGCAGGAATTTGAAGTGGAAAGCTTTATATAGCAGTGCAAAGTTGTATCTCAGAAACGAACTACGTATATGGAGGCCAAAATATGGCGAATAACGAGGCAATTAAGTTATTACTGGTCTTGAGTAATGGGGATACGTATGCCCGTCAGCTCGAAGGCCGTTAATCTGCGTACAAAGGCAGACCAAGTTAAGTAAAACGACGGAGGTGGCAGGAGCGACTACGGCGTCTGCCAAGCCCGACTACGCAGTAAAGCAATCATGCGATGTGCGTGGCAGTACTACTGAAACCCAGATCGTGGTTATCAATAAAATAAAGCAGCCCACGCACGTAATCGCGATTGATATACTGCGTCAATCCACGAGTTACGTGCGTCCCTCAGGAATGAATGCGCAAAATGTCTGTGACGTTCGGAAATACGATGGTTATAATCTTACAATTAATTTTAAAAACAATGGCCATAACATATAAATTGATTTGGGAAATGAGTAGATCAAGGTGGAGAAAATTAGAACATAAACGGTGCAAATTTTGTCCGAACATTGTGAACTATTGAACAAAGTGATTGGAATGAATCTCGATTTCTAATATTTTTATCTAAAGAAAAAATAATACTGGAAGCACCTGAAACACATTCTTTTGTCTACTCGTATATTAAGTCCAGAAATAATTTAGCTCTCACTAGCACTGTTGAATAAATTAACCTATGAATAATTCAGAGCTATTTAAATTACAGATCATTTTGTAGCCCAGGCGGAAAGAGGAGACATTCCTCCACTGAAACAGAGAGAAAGCCTCTCTGAAGTGTGCCTTAAGATATTTAGAAAGCGCCATAGAACGAAATGCAGGACACAGGGCAACCACAAACTCCTCCTTTCTGCGCAGGGTCTTCATGAGACGAACTCTAGCGCATTCATTCATTGTGCGAGGGGCACCGGCCGGGGCAGCTCGCATCTGCGACGCACAAAAAACGCGATGCAACAGGTCTGAAAATCTCGTGCAAGTCGCTGACCCACATCGAGCAGAGAAGAGCACAGCTTTGTCCTCGCCCAACACACTAATAATGCGATAGCTCCACAGGATAAATAATTGGCCGTCGTAATGAGCTTAGCCTCGTAACATTTTCCATGAATGACTGAGGTAATCAAGCGCAGATTAGGCAAAGAAATTTAAGCCCCACAATAGCAAACTTTGCTGCAGCAAATCAACCACGAAATTAAGGCATGCCAAGATCTGGAATTAATTGTGAGCATTTAAAACATAAGACAGATGTGAGCATACGAAAAATGTGAGCATTTGAAAAAGAAAAAACATAAGACAGATCAAATAAAATGGAACTATTATAACAATCGAATTCTAGTCACAGCAGAGAGGAATTGACTTCACACGCACCATTACAGGTCATTAGTTCAATGAGTTCTGTGTAAATTGAGTATGACAGGAGCAATGAATTACAACATCCATAAAATAAAATTGAAGCCTTGGTAAAAACAATTAAAAAGGTCTCACGCGAACAAATGTCAAGACTAATCACATCACACATAAGCAAACGGACTTCAGTGACGCAACCGCCTGTAATGGATACGGATTTACCTTTTCTAATCATTGTCAATTTCAAGTTTACGGGCCATGTATACTCCCCCTACATACGATTGCTCAACTCTTAATTAAGCATGATTTTATTAAGCTTGATTTCTCACAAAATAAAATGACAACTACTACAGAATGAAACTTGTCTGTATATAGGCAGACTGACACATGCAATTCAACATGGCTTAACACACTGGCGACTGCACGCTTGTTGAGTTTACGGTTCAGAAGCATCGATCAACGACAGCGATCGATGAATGTCAGCCGCGACCCTGCAGCGATCCGTGACATTCTGCAGCGCGTGAGGCAGCCACTCAAAATTTTACGAAAATAAATAAATCTTCCGGTTTATTGGTACCAACGCAATAAATGACAAATTTCCGTTATATGAGATAATTTTTTGTAATTACACCGGAAAAGAAGCCTCCAATTACGTATAAATGACAGTAAAATGACAACGATCAAGTTCGGAATTTAATTGAATTTAATGTGTAGAAAAATACTTCATTACGTTTCGAAAATTAGATGGCTGGAAATATAATCTGGTCGGCGAATTCAAAGTCACATATGTAAAGGAAGCGCAATCACGAAAAATTTGCAAAAAAGGGAGCGCAATCACGAAAATTTGAATGCTCAGCAAGGAAGGATTAAAGAGCATTCGAATCCCTAATCGGAGCACGAGAACCCCAACTTGAGAAATGATCGACGAAGAAAATTGTACGAAAATAAATAAACCTTCCGGTTTCTTGGTACCAACGCAATAAATAGCAAGTTTCAGTTAAATTTTTCGTAACACTGGAAAAGAAGCCTCCACTTACGTATAAATGGCAGTAAAATCACAACGATCAAGTTCAGAATTGAATTGAATTCAAAATGTAGAAAAATACTTCATTACGTTTCGAAAACGAGATGGCTGTATACATAATTTGGTCGGCGAATTCAAAGTCACATACGTAAAGAGAGCGCAATCACGAAAATTTTCTAGTTAGCACGGGATGATCAAAGAGCATTCGAATCCCTAATCGGAGCACGCGAACCCCAACTTGAGAAATGATCGACGAAGATATCTCAATTTTTTCAAGATATATATCATAAATACATCATTTATACTCGTAATTGCCAAAACAACAGTATTGATAGATCGCTTTTGCAAATGGCAATAAGCAGCACATTATGAAATAAATAAAAACAAATTTTAAAAATGTGCTAACCTCGAGAAGAGAATAGGCTTTTATTTAAAGAATGAAAACTAAAAAGCAAGAACAATTTTTTTAACAAGACGTAGGGTTTTTGATTTTTATTCAAACAATCACTGCGTCTCAGAATCACAGCAAGTTAGATACCTAGTTCAACTCGCTTGAAGTTACTGAAGTAATTCAGAAACATCCCTTAATTGTACCGACCGACCAGCTGTCAGGACCAGCTTCACAAGTTATTTTGCGGCAGTCTCGTAGTCTCGAGTTCAAGGTTTGGTCACATAATTGCATGGGCGAGAGCTCAACACTTGTGTACGCCGACCAGCCCACTAATAAACAACAACCTTGACATACTCGCCACAGCATCGCGATATTTATACATATTATCCTTTCGACAGCTTTTCACTTCAAAAACTGAAATAATAAATGGAATAAAAAATACCAGATCGACGATAAAAACACTTCATTTCTGCCACTTTACTTTTGAAACGGCTTGGAATTGGATTAATCCAGCGACACGAAAAAATGATCATAAGCAATTAAGGAACGAAAAAAGATTTTGAAACAGCACTTATAGAATGAAAGACCACGTCAATAAAATAAAACTTGACCGTAAACTTGAACTAAACCCACATTGGTTACTGGAATAGCAGGACCCGAAGGAGCTCAAAGTAATTTTCAAGCATGCTGAAATATACACCCCCATTTTTAGTAGAACAATTAAAAAGTTAAAACACGAAAGTAAAAAGTAATTTTCAAGCATGCTGATATATACACCCCCATTTTTAGCAGAAAAATTAAAAAGTTGAAACTAGAAGGTAATACAATTTAGGAGCACAAACACACGGAGGAACAAAAGTTGGAGCTATTAAAGGCAATTATGGGAGACATATAGGAGGGAAGTTAAGCAAGCAAGACCACGCACGCCACAGGGGGCTAGACTATTTCAATGCTACAGCAGATCAATAGCCGCACAAACCTGGTCTTGGTTTGCTCTGACTCTTCGTACAACGTCTTCACAATAGTTTCAATGATACACACCGCGGCTTTAAAATCTGAAGCAACCAGCCCCGAAATTTGAGGATCAGAATCAATATCCAATAACAAACTAGAACATAACACTCAAAACGAGTGAAATAAAACTCAACATAAGTGAAATAAAAACCAAACTACTGTTGCAGTGCTGCAAAAAGTATCATTACCTCAACTATTAAACTATATGAATGCTGTCAACAACAATATTTATAATTAACGGAAATCAATGATGATGGTCAATTTCTATAATGTAATTAAATAGAAAGATATACCTAACTAGTGGAAAAATCTGTCGAATCTCCAAGAGTTAAAAATAACCATTTCAGTGTATGGTCGGTAAATTAAAATAATTGCTGTTTGAAATTTTGTTACACTATGGCGAGTAGGAAATTCACATTCACAACTTCAAATCGGCAAAGAATTTATATTAAATTGTTCCGGTACAATTGTGGAGAGGCAATAAATGCATTATCTCAGATAACGAATGTAAACTTCGTCACGAAGAAGGTAACGGGCTTCAAGCGGGACGATTTAAGTCATGATTTATGACAACGATTTTATACATTTTACATTTTTATTGACGCATATGAGGAAATCTGAGCAAAAATCAATAAAAAATTTTTTATACTTCTCGCAAAGCGGAAATTAGTTTAAATTGCCAGTTGGTACAATGTGACTGACAAATTAAGACAGTCAATGGGAATCGCGCACAAATACGCACGGCTCATCAAATTCGTGATCGAGTCCGGCGGCAAACTGATCGGCGTTTAAACAGAAAATCCTTAGCGCACAAAACGGAAATAAATCACGTGAGAAATTTCTACGGTAGATCACACGAGAGATAATTTGAGATCTAACGTAAAGGTGTAAATTGAGATGTTTGTATAACCTTCATCGCCTGAGGAAAAATATTGGAGATGTAATTTAATCGTGAAAAACTGTGTGGCAACAAGATAAACTTACTCTCTCAATCCCTATCAATTTATAAATTAACGCTGACCAATCACAATCCTGTATTTATATTTATACGCTACAACTATCCGATGAAACTGAATTCGCCAATTCGCATCACAGGGCGCAACACAATCTTTCAGTGGAACATATACACAGGGTTTCATAGTAAGTTAAGGATTAAAACATAATCCGATCGCATTTTGTTGAATTGTTTCATTTTGCCGTGGCATAACGACTGTCGCGCATGGAAGACTCTGGTGCGAGTAGCGCACGTAACGGCAGGGTCGAGATTGGGGCCGTTGACCGCTCACGGCAGGTCTGCTGCACTGAAAATAACCCACGGTAACCTAGTATGGGGGCCTGAGCGGTCCAGTTGTAACACTCACCGTGAGTCCGGTAGTATAAGTGATTTTTTTTTTGTGTATTACATTAAATAACTCAAGTGGTTGCGTTCACATCACTATCGAAAGATTTTGTCTATATAAAAAAGTAACGGTAGAATTGACGAGAATTCATTTCGTAGTAACAAAAAATAATAATAGAGAAGCACGAGATTTCAATTGACTACTTCGTTTTGATTACTGCTGAATTACTTAATTAAAGTCTGTACGATGACCGGAAAGTTCCTAGTTGTAAAATTAAATTTACAACACTGAAGATTCTATAACTGGCTTATGACTCAACCGCCAGTGAATGACCGGATGCAAAGACACATGCGCGACAGTTATTATATCCGGGATACGAACAAGTGCCTGTAGAACAAGTGATCGCGGTTCTCACAGCTCACGGCCACTCATCAAATTTACCAGAGAAATATTCTCAAGGTAGATATTCAAAAATTTAACAGCTGACGATACAACGGATCTGCAAAACAATGTTGACTGGGACTGAAATGTACAAATATACTCTTGGACTGAAATGTACAAGGAAAAAAGATGTAAAATTCTGAAGATCGTAAATGTGGTATCATGACTTGGCAATGCCAACTGTATTCATTTAGAATGAAAAAATTGTACAACTGGAATGATTGACCTGTGCTCGTGTAAAATTATCGTACGGCGAAGATATTCAATATTTGACCCAGTTAAACGAGCGTAATTTTTGGTTGATCATAACATTAGATGTAATTAAACACGCACGCAAAAATCTAACAACAAACCCCAAATTTCCTAATACAAACAACATTTATTGAGAATACATTGCATCTGATTGAAATACAATTTCAAATTTTAACTAAACATTGATGCTTGACATTTGCAATAGATCTACAAACATTGGAAGTGCAGTTTCTCACATAAGCGGAGGATTGTGCGAAAAAAAACTAGTCAAGTGACCGAAATTCGGGTCAACGAACTCTAGTTTTGTTAGGTCAGTGACAAGGTTCAGGACACGCGTCGGTTGTAGAGAAAAGGGCGAGTATTGTCACGCATCCACGAGGAACTTGGTTGAGAACAGAACGGAGAACATGCAGATATTTCTTTCGAACTCGTATGCATGCGCGTCCTCAGACTTGACAAGTGGTAACTCATTAGCATTCGAATAACGGTGTGGCGCCAGCGCTCGGAGTGATAATCATTCGAAGAGTTTGGAAACTAGGAGGTAATATGTTTTTAGACCGCAATGTTGGGCGTGGTGCAGCCACAACAACGTTACGACCTCAAACAAACCCTTCAAGATTTGATTGCCGGGATTCGCTGTCAGGTTGACAATGGTGTATAATGATTAATTGCATTACTCTCACGCAAGCAAACGCAAGAAGTTTTTCAAGTAGACGTAAATTAATTCATTGCGCAATAATCACAGCCGTACGGAGACATGAATTTAAATATCCACTGATGTTCTCGTTTAAGCTACGACATAATCTAAGAAGCCACGGAATTTACCCAGAAGGAATACGTAAGCAGTCAAGTGACAGATTTCCGGCTAAAGTATTCAAGACAACAGTAAGTATTATGGTCGTGACTATCGGACGAAGGAACCTTGAGGTTATCAATAGAATATCGAAAAAATCTGTGAAATACTTGCGGCATTTTAACCAAGGACAAGATTGAGCGTAATATTGTTAATATGTTGTGAAGAATTTCAAACGAACCTGGAACAGAAGCCGGCCAAGACGAGGTGTAGCGACTGCGCCAACAGTTTGAGAAGACCTTCCAGTTTCCCAGGTAAAGCGAGGGCCAAGGAAAGAGGGCCAAGACCTCCACAAACTCCTTGCGGCTGGTCTTCGCCAGCCGTGGGTGGTAAGGAACACTGGTGACCCAGCACGGAGCCCTCGTAGTAACGCTCAAAAGCGCTCCTGTCAACGCAGATATTATTCTGCGCCACTGAGCTGACGTCAGGGCGCGCAATGTTGCCGCGATCCTCGGTTTCTGACACCGAGGTTAGGTGATGGTCATGACTAGGCAGGCGGCCACACTCACTCGCAGGGTCACAAGACAACTGGCATACATCGACGCATGACTGCTCCGTGGTGAGCGATTGGCCTAACTGATTAGATAAGGAATTCTCAAGCTCGTTATTACTCCGACTTGCAGCATTAATTGGATTCGAGTTACTGTACGGACTATTGAAACTATTCTTGACTTGCGTTTCAACAACGTAATGCTTGTTCTTGCTACACTTTTTCTTAGGTTTAGGAGGGGTGGGCGATTCTCGAAGGGGACGGTATTTGGATTGAAGGACTAGATGATTTGGATCAAGCGTGACGGAACGATCCGCGATCTTGCTTGGTCTTCGCGTCATTGCCGTGAAGTTGTTCTCTGCCAAGGGAGAACTGAGCTCCGCATTGGATGGCAATTGCCATGGAATCGTGCGATCGTCGATGATGCTGTGTTTATCCCAAGGGAATTCTGACGGAGACCAGGAGTCGTTGCGGTACTCGTGTTGCTGGTAGAAGATGTTGGTGCTGTCTAGACTAGCCTTGTCTCTCCACTGCGGCCAGTGTAGAGGCGCGTAACTAGGCATGGCGCCCAACAGTTACGGTCTTGTCTGGTACGATCAATACACTTCGTATCAATTTTATTCTTCACTTCCTAGCGAAAGGCTGCACAAACAATATAAGTTTTAGATACTAAGATATTATTTATGTACTGTTTACCAGGTTACCCGCGGTCGGAGCCCCAAATTCACAATGGACTGTACTTATGAAATCGTCTTAAAATTCTTTAATAACTTCTCACTGATCCTGAAGAAGAAAAATTGAGGTTAACGTGGTTCAAGTGCGATCGTTCAAAGAATTACATCAGACAAAAACTTTAAATGACACTGATACCTACGCACAATTCGAAACAAATCTCAGATTGTATGCGAGATTTGAGAGAATTTATACCAACTGATCAGGCCCGTGGAGATTAAGACCCAGGTTCATCAATGTTATCTAGAGAAATTCTACTAAGCTCTTCACGTCGTAAATTTTAGAATATGAAAGTTAAATTAAAACCAAAGAATGTGATTTATTTACACGTGATTAATAAGGTTTTGAACTACAAGGAATGATTCTAAAAGATCTTTAGAACTTGGTAAAATCAGCACTCGCTAGAATACTTAACATAACCAGTAACTCTCACATTTTATTTTAAAAACAAGTTTCACGTCACTGAACTCAAAAGGAATGTATTAGAAAGTTTACTCAATGCTAAAGCAAACGCTATCGCAACGCTCTCACAAAAACAGTCCGCAAGCAAGCACAGTTTGAGCTACAGAGCGACAACCTCCTCCCTCCACAGTCTGAACTGAACTGATGGCCAAGGTCTGCATTGTACTGGGGAAGCAGTGGTGCAAGAACCCCCCAATCTGCCCTCGCTCACAGGTGACGAACGCCTCCCCTTCTCCCCTCCCGCCATCTCACTCCAGGTAGCTCTGCTGAACTCTCTCGCTCTTACTCACCCGCCACTCTTGAATAATTTCGTATCTTTAACAGACCGCGTGAAAGTGGTGTCCCTTTCTGAGGCCGAGCTCTAATATTGCATCATCTCATTCACTTCCCGTGGACCATCCAACAGCCGACTTCGACTTAAGTTGACTGTAATGACTTGCATCGACCGACACGTCCAAGTGTGGGAGTAAGGATAGTCGGAGACAACTTTTCACACAGAACAACATAAAATCTACTGAAAAGATGAAATTTTTAGAGGACGTAAATTCCCAGCAGAGAAGAAACCGATGTTAATTATAATCTGTAATGTAGGTTTCCTCCGTCACATTTTAAGCACCCCTTACCTATATTTCAATGACCAAAAATGATTGAGAACGTATGATCAATATCATTGCTTGAAGTATATCTGCCTAATAAGAACAAAACTGCTCTCATTCCCTTCAAAATGAAAATAATTGTACCAAAATAACTATCATACGAATACTTAAAATTAAACACTTGAATTTATAGCTTTCAAAAATAGAATTTGAATTCAAACGGAGATCCAGGGCGCAGCAGCATTGAGTGCCTGACGCGGGTACGAAGCAGCAAGCAGAGCCACACACTTCCGGCCAGCGGACGGTTGTCAGGCCAGCAGCGGAGCATGACTCATGGCATGACAGGGGCGCGTGTTGTGGCATAGCACACCCAAGGCACACAGCACTGCATGAGTCTGCACTGCACACCCAGGGCACATAGCACTGCATGACAGTCTGCACTGTCTGCAGGTGGCGAGATGGGTGCAGTCAGCGGATAGAAACCATGTTATTGAGTGACGCGAACAAAGGCTGTGGAAAAAAGTCATTTTCCAGTCGAGGACAACAGAACAAACTTATCATCAAGGTTGTGGTCAAAGAGTTCCATTCTAAATAATGATTTCTGAAATGGGACACTCGGTAGGATACTATTCGATGAAAGGTCACGAAATGTCTGAAATACAAACCTCAGAGGATTACTTCATCTGCCTATTTTGATTTTGTTACCAAATAAGTGTGAGCTGACCATTAAGAGAAGATCTAAGAAAGAGAAGGGCAATGCAAGAGATTGTAATCGTAAACAACAAGTCAAGCAAGACGCTACGTCACGCTGCTGTAGCTAGCAAAACGTAGCGGTCGAAACTGGCGATGAGGCCGCCGCGTGATTCCCGCACTGCTGCGAGTTTCCGGCCAGAAAACATACTAGCTCGTGAGAGTTGAGCTCTCCGTAAGATGCTTTTTATCGTGCAGTAACTTACACTATTTCATAAGTTTTTTTAATTACTTGCTACAACGATACTTGACCATTGTACAAATCTATAAATGGTTCTAGTCCGTGCATTGCCACCATGAAGCGCAGCCTTTTTCTGCTAATTAACTATTAATATTCATTCTTGCAAACTCCAGTTTTGCCCAGGATATGCATAATTGATGAACAAAGTGATTGAGAACGCCAAGGCCATGAGGCTTCAGTTTGATCCTTTGTCTAGTAACGGTAACTCAAGTTACCAGGCCTTGTAATATAACTCTCATGCATAACCACCCCCGTAATAAGATAAGTTCTCTAGACAGATGGTGTCTTTATACTCACACACTTGGTCAACGAACCCCTGTCCTCAGATTCAGGTATAAATATAAATATATGGTCAGGTGGCGCTTAACATGGCTGCCTGACAAATACGAAAGACTTTAGCGACGGCTAATGTATTCGTAGACTAAGAGTTAAACAGGAAACCAAGTGGCGTCCGTTTAACAAGTAGTCCATCATGACACAATGAAGATGAATTTCCTGTTCATTATCAGATGATAGCGAATGTTCTTACGAATTCACAAGAATCGAGTTTATTGTCAAATGCCGTTACCATCCTATGTCTAGATAACAACACGATGCCGTATCTCACTCACCAAGTCAAGATTTCATAATGTCACTAATCAATTCAGAGGCCAGATAACTCAATCAATTTAACGTCCACCTTCCGAGCGACTTGTCCTTCAAACAACAACGATGAAGGTAATATTGAAAATTGCGTAATGCTCGAGTTGAAGCGCGTTGTATTCATTTAAAATTTTAGATGAATAAAAACAGACAACTACTGCGTTCTATTCATGAGAATGAATCTAAAAGTATAGGGCAGCTTGCGCGAAATATCACGTGGTAATACAAGCACTTGCAGCTCATATGCGAAATGAGGTTTCGTCCCATTAGACAACCTAATGCACGATTATGGAAGTAAAATGTTTTATTTTCGTTATTATCCTGCAAGTATAAAACTTAATAAAAGCGATGTGAAGACATCGTAATGAGCGACAGGTTTAAGAGGCCAAGGCTGCGTGGCTAAGACGAGTCAGAACAAGATCCGGACACGCGCAGCGAGTTGGTGTGTGAAGGCCAGCGTCTCGTTGAACGACATCGTCAGGAACGTATCGCATCCAAATGTGAAATGTGAGCAGAACTTATGGGAATTTAATCATACACCGTATCGCAATATAAATGCATTCTGATCGTACAAAGAGAGCCGGCTCATTTGAACTCCAAACCATTAATTTCTGCAAACATGCATTGATAAAATTTAAGGCAATCGCGAAACGATCCTATTTCCGACATTCATGTCGGTCACAAACACACGTCGGTCTTTCTTAGAAGAAAACGTTTAGCGAGCCAACGAATTTCGATGACGTGGAGTCAGAACGGGAACAAGGCTCACTCAATGCAGGTCAGGGCGCAGGAGAGGAAGGAAACCCGACGGCAGCTTCTATCCGTAGACGTCGAACGCAAACACTCGTGATACGGGAGCCCTGTACATAATCATGGTGCTCTGATCTACCACCTGCCTCTTTCAGATAATCAATGCGTTGTTTTTTTAACGACCACTTACATATTATTCGATGCTCTGGTGCTCTGATCTACCAACCGTATTCTTCAGAAAATCTATGCGTTGTATAACAACGACCACTTACACATTATTCAGAAGCAGTTCCGTGTTTCATTATTTGATCGGCAACCTTCTGTCCAGTCGGATCTCTCAATAGCGAAAGGTCATGCAAACCTTCCTCTAATGCAGTGTCAGTATTAGATAGAGGAACAGCTGTTTGCTAAGAAACTGCAGCGCTTTGTAAAAACACCGTCACGCTGACAATTTAAGGAGGTTGTTGCCGCACAATTGCTTTGCTGGTCATGCAGGAAGTAGGTATTTGAGATATACTTGATTACGGTAAAGTTTGAAGCCTCGTAGCCTAGCTGGTACTAATGTTCGTAACAAAAACTGCGTATGGAACTGTACATTGTTTTAAATCGTTGCACGTAGAAAAGTTGATCGCAGGTATCCATGTAACGGCATTGTCTGGATTTATCAACATTAGAGCACAATGCGAAACACTATCAACATTAGAGCACAATCTGAAACGGGGGATCTCATGAGGAACATAAACGGTACGTAAGGTCTTCGTAAAACGGGTTTCATCCGACAAAGAACCGTTGCAATGACGATCGAACAATCACGGTACGATTAACTTGAATTTATGCTCAACATAGGAGACCGTGCTGCTATAGATGCCGTGAGCCATTTGTGTTATGTCACTTAAGCATCGATCGAGCAATTAAGTAACGGTCGACTTCCGGCGAAAAGTAGTGTGGGCAATTCATCAGTGTGTGGCGGTAGCGGCGTAATTTGGTCTCAAAAATGCACAAAAAAAGCCTGCGAAGACGATCCTATAAAGCCAGACCCTCATAATAAGCTGCACAGCAAATTTAGCTGAACTTTAATTGACACAATTATATAATTGCAGTCGCGTGGCGATCTTTGTGAAATTGAGACTTAAAGCCGAGAAAATAGGGAGCAAATGACTCGGGAAATAATATTAAATTAGAACGGTTTGTAAATTAGAGATTCTATGGAATCGGCACCCAATTTGCCGAATCTGTAGAATCAACATTCCCGCACTATAGGAATCTGGGGTTAGGTCAGTCAAGTTATTTTTATCTTCAATATTTGAATATGAAGGGAAACTTGACCAAACTTGACCAAACCTTTTCTAACTCTAACTGCCGATTTATGTTCCAACTCTTACTCTAACGTCCGATTTTCTGAATCAGCAACGAAATGTTGATTATACAGATTCCGCAAACTGGCTGCCGATTCCATAGAATCGGATATTCCGTGATTTCGTCACGCCATATTCCAAGATGAAAAAATCAACCGTGCTCAATTGAACTCAACTTTTTCAATTGCGGTAAAGGACTCACCATACGAGACGAATTAGTCTTGACCGCTTAACTGCTTTACTCCGCACACATCAGAGCAGAATATTTCAGTCCTCGCAAACACACAAGCAGGATCCACATGTATTCTGAGTCGTAGGCCAGGGAGCGCCATACTCAACATAACGGCATAATCAGCCTTTCTGAGACCAATAATCTGAACCTCGACCACCAAATCTAGCAGCAATCCGTATAATTTTGGCTCTGCCATAACATAATGCACGCCTGGAGGTTGGCCAATGCGTTGTAACGTCACGTACGGAACCCGTAACAGACG